AAAAAAATGTCTAAAACTTCAATTCGACTTCGTCAAATAATATGCGTTTGATATGAGTAGAATGGTTAACTAATTCTCTACAAAATGACATTTAAAAGAAAATTCAAACAGCGCCTCCGCTCAAGAAAAAGCCATTTTTTCACAAAAACTACAAACTGTGATCTAGAAAAAACCATTGGTGGGATCTTCCTGCAAATTTGGCAACTTAAGTAATTGAATGTGCTCTATCTTTTTTATATAAACACCAAAGAAGGTTTATGTGAAAGAAACTGTTCAAATGATGAGTCGGACTCTTTGCCATTTTAACCAGCTGCGTTTGGAAGTTCATAAACTCCACGAAAGAAAAGCTTTGTGGAATCTCTCAAAAGTCATTTTGTAGAGAAATAGTGGATCCTTTTGATGAAACCAAACGTATGTTTAAAGAAGGCTTTATGTGTGCAAAAAGTCCCTTTAAAGTTCGGCGCCGACTCATTCTCCCCAACCCAATAATTGTAAGTCAAAGGTAGATTTTAGCCTAGATTTAGATTTAGATTTTAGCTTTTCATACTCTATTTCTTTCTTTCTTTCTTCTCCTTCTTTCTCTCTTCTTCTTCTTTCTTTCTCTCTTCTTCTTCTTTCTTTCTCTCTTCTCTTTCTTTCTTTCTGCTTCCCCTTTATCTTTCCTTCTTTCTCTATAGCTTAATAGTTGTCCGGAAAGTGGCCGGAAGGATTATAAGTTCCGATAACTTAAGTTCCAATTTCTAGACACACTTAACATTGCCCCACAAACGTTCATAGGTATCCAAAGTACACGTGTACTTTTCAATTTCAATTTTTATCAAATTATTGAATTTACATCATTTTCAATGTGATTTTTTATCGATTCACATAAATCAAATGAAAATTTAAATCTAAATTTATAGAAAAAAATAGCTTTACACACTTATCGACTTAAAGAAATGTGTCCAGATCCCGATGAAGCCACATCGATGAGCCAAGAGGTCATTGGTCAAGGGGAAATCGTTTCCCAACAACAACAACAACAACAACAACATCCCGCTCAACTCGCGCCAAGTATCACCGAACACTCTGATATCACACAGTTGTGAAAATATGACAATGTTAAAGTTAAAGTTAAAGTTAAACTCTTTTCTAAAAGAGCTCTTTTTTAGAAAGAACTCTTTTCTAGAAAGAACTCTTTTCTAGAAAGAACTCTTTTCTAGAAAGAACTCTCTTCTAGAAAGAACTCTTTTCTAAAAGAACTCTTTTCTTTTCTTTAGAAAAGCTTGAAAACCAACTTGCTTCGAAGCTTGAAAACCAGCTTGCTTCCAGCTTGCTCAAGTTGATCTTTCTAACGAAACACCTTTACCAAATCAAAATCCTCCCATTACTTTCTCAAAATTACTTCAATCAAAATCTCCCATTACTTTCTAACTTATTACCGTAGCTTTGATGTCTTTAAAGAGAAATTTTAGCTTATTTTATGAATATTTTGAATATTTTTGTCCATTTAAACCTGAAATGATTGCTCAAATCGTGTATAGAAGGCTTTTATGAATATTTTTTTTGATTTCTTTTTTGCTTTTTTCTATATCTTTCCTTTCAAAAATCTTTTCAAATATGGTGCTCAATAAAGAATAAAAATAAAGAATACTCAAAAAACGATAACAAAACAGATTAGCTAACTGATGAAGAGCTTGGGGCTAGTCTTGACATATCAGCAGCAACCCTACAAACTACATCAAAGCTTTGATTAACTAAATTTGATTCATCCAAAGCTCACATTCTGATCATTGATTAAGCTTGGATTTTCTGTGGAAAAGTTTAATTAGATTTGGCTATAGATCTGGCTATAGATCTGGCTATAGATCTGGCTATAGATTTGGCTATAGATCTGGCTATAGATCTGGCTATAGATCTGGCTATAGATTTGGCTATAGATCTGGCGATAGGTCTGGCTATAGTAGTCCGAGTAGTCATTAGATTTGGCTATAGATCTGGCTATAGTAGTCTGAGAACAAGATTTAAACGAGGCTTTAACAGATCTATCTAACAGATCAGATAACAGATCAGATAACAGATCAGATAACAGATCAGATAACAGATCAGATAACAGATCAGATAACAGATCAGATAACAGATCAGATAACAGATCAGATAACAGATCAGATAACAGATCTACAGGGTGACCAACAATTACCGCAACACAGATCTGGCTTTTAACCAAAGATACAACCAAATAGACAACCAAATATACAACCAAATAGACAACCAATCTCGAAAAGTTAACTTAAATATCTTTATTCAACATATAACAGTAACAAATTAACAATTAAAACAATTAAATTCAAATTTGCCTCCATCCGCATTCAGACAGGCCTGCAAACGTGAAATGGGAATTGTTTAATTCTCATAACATAATACGACGTTGTTGCCGTAATTCTTGGTCACCCTGTACTGTGGCTTGAGAGTTGTTTTCTAACAACGGAAAATGCAACAATGGAATGTTAGACAAGCTATAGATCGTTGGAAATTCCTCTCCAAACTTTTGACCTTATGGTGCAGTGGATAAAACGCTTGCATACAAAACGATCTTTTGCAAAACGATCGCAGCAATCTTTTGCTCGAGTTCGATTCCTTTTTGACAAAACTTTTGTTTTTGTTGGGGCTATAATTTGTTTCAAGTAAAAAGTAAAAGGCGTTTTTTTTTTTGCTACAGTACTTTTTCAGGACTCTCTGACGAACCGGGTTGTGCTGGAGTTGTAGGTAATCAAGGGGAACCTGTAGATCTTGGAGCTCTGACCGAGGGAGATTGGGAAATGATTGAGAAATTGTGGATCGAGGGGAAGATCCGGACAAACGGGTATTTGTATTGATTACTGTATTGATTCTTCTATTCATGTATTATTGTATTACATTGATTCCTGTATCGGAAGTTTATCAAAAGAGTGCTTGTGGAATAAATCAATTTTCATTGTGAATTGTGAAATAAATCAATTTTCATTTAAAAATGAGCAAAAGTGTCACAAAGTATGGTCATTTTTTGGTTTTAGGTGGCACATTTTGACTTGTAAAACTCATTTCGCATATCATTATTATCAAAGCATCTTTGCAAGTTTGATGTATTTATTTGTGGAATTCCCGGCAATTCACGAGATATCCCTTTATGGATTTGATCGTGGGATTACGGTAGTCTACTGCTTGGCTGGCCTGGCTAGGGTTACGGTAGTCTACTGCTTGGCTGGCCTGGCTGGGATTACGGTAGTCTACTGCGTGTATTTGTGGATCGGCGGGAAACACAGGTGAGCCGGGCCAAACCGGGGCAAACAAAGACAAAGTCCGTCCGGTCTTTCTATTCAACCAGGTACTCGATTTTATCGTAAATCTTAAAATTTTAAGCTACTTTTTTAAAAACATAGCTCAATTCTTATCTTTAATTTGTTAGTCAATTTTGGCTCTTTTTTGAAAAGAAGCAGCTGAAATTAGTGAAACGGCGATCAACAGGTGCAAATCGGCAAAACGAATATGAAGTTTTGAGAATCGAAACCTGACAAAAAATAATTATTTTTAAGGTTATGACGATCAAGGTGAGGATTTTGTTATTTTGGTTTAATAAGTAAATAACTGGACTACGGTAGCTGTTATCTTCAGCTGGATTACGGTAGCTCTTTCCTTCAGCTGGATTACGGTAGCTCTTTCCTTCAGCTGGATTACGGTAGCTCTTTTCTTCAGCTGGACTACGGTAGCTCAAAATAAACTTAATCAAGTAGCCTATAGTGCAGACTAATGTAGCCAAATCCGCACTATCGCTACTCCAATGCAAAATACCCGATTCCTAAGGTTACTGTAACAAGCCAAGCACAGGGCTTGGGTTCAGGCCTGACTAAAGGCCTGAACCCAACCCTGACTAAAGGCCTGAACCCAACCCTGACTAAAGGCCTGAACCCAGGCCTGACTAAATGCCTGAACCCAACCCAACCCAACCCAACCCAACCCAACCCAACCCAACCCAACCCAACCCAACCCAAACCCAACCCAACCCAAACCCAACCCAAACCCAACCCAAACCCAGGCCTTCTTTTCCCTTCCTTCTTTTACTCAAAAAAATTTGAATTATTCTTTTTTTTGAAATTAAGAAACGTTTAAAAATGAGTTTTTTCGTTATAATTTGAATTATAAAAAAGAAAAATAAAAGCTAATTTTTCATTCTTTAATTCAATTAACAGTTACAGTAATCATATTTTTATAATGATTACAAAAAAAGCACCTGCTTTTTTTTCACCTCAGAAAATATTTTTCTATCAAAATTTCTTCTTACAAAAATTATCGATTTTAATTTTTTGTTAGAAATTTTGATTTTAAATTTTCTCTTCTTTCTTCTCCACTTCCTCTTCGTTCTTCTTCTCCTCTTCCTCTTCCTTTTCTCTTCTTTCTCTTCCTTCTTCATCTCCTCTTCCTTTCGCTTTACTTCTTCCTCTTCTTTCTTCTTCTCCTCTTCCTCTTCCTTTTCTCTTCTTTCTCTTCCTTCTTCATCTCCTCTTCCTTTCCCTTTACTTCTTCCTGTTCGTTCTTCTTCTTCTCCTCTTCCTCTTCCTTTCCCTTTACTTCTTCCTCTTCGTTCTTCTTCTCCTCTTCCTCTTCCTTTCCCTTTACTTCTTCCTCTTCGTTCTTCTTCTTCTCCTCTTCCTCTTCCTTTCCCTTTACTTCTTCCGCTTCGTTCTTCTTCTCGTTGTTTCTCTTCTCCTTCTCTCCCCTCCTCAACTCTAATGAACGCTCATGTTCTTCCTAAAATGTTAATCAAGAACTTGAAAGCTTTTTATTTTAAAATTTTCATGAAAAAGCAAGCCGTCTAGTGCATGAGATTCTTTCCTTTTCAAGTGATTTCATTCATTCAAATCATTTCATTCATTCATTTCCTTTTTCTTTATCGTTCTTTTTGTGAGATTCATTCAAAACTATTGTTTTTACCGTAATCTTTTTCTTAAATTATTTTACAGTAATCCTTTCGAAAGACGAAAAAGATGAGCAATTGTGGATCGCAAGAGAAAATCGTGATCACATTTGACACCGATCCGCAGTACTATTTAAAGGTTCAGAGTTTTTTTTGATTTCTTTCAAACATTTAAAGGATTTTATTGATTATTTTTAAAAGATTCAATAGAAAACTACGGTAAATACAATTTAGAATTGTTGACACAGCTTTCTGAGACAGCAAAAGCTTAGCAAAAGCTCAGCGAAAGCTCAGCAAGTCCGTAGCCAGCTTTGAAACAGAGCTGAGCTTTGATCTAAATTGTTTTATTGACATTTGACAATATTCTTAATCGATATTAAAACTAAAATTATCAAATGTTCTCGATTTTCAGTCACTTACCTATGCGGGAATCATTGGTTTATTCGTGAACTCTTTCGGCGCTTATGTCATCCTTTTCCGATCACCCGCTCATTTCAAAACCTATCGCTGGCATTTATTGAACTATCAGGTAAATGAAAGAAAGCAAGAAGCAAGCAAAAGATTGATCGACTCTTGAATACTTTTCATTTCATAGATCTGCTCAATGGGGTGCGATGCTGTGATGACTCTTTGCGCGGCTCCGGTTTTCTTCTTGCCGATTCCCGTATGCATGCCGATGGGACTATTCAATGCAATGGGGATGAACCCTGGATTGCAGATGGTAATTCCTGAATTCAACACTGAGACGCCAGGCTGAGAGGCCAGACTGAGAGGCAAATTCAACACTGAGACGACGCCGGGATTCGAACCCCGCGTCACTCGCCTATCGCGAACACTCTACCAATGAGCTCTACCGTCCGCTCTACCATTATCAATTAATTCAAATATTATTTAGATCATCTACTCAACATTCATTCATTTAATCTTTGCCGCCACAATGCAAATGTTTTTCTATAAATGGCAAATGATCGTTCCAACCGGGAGTATGCTTAAATTCTCGAGAAGGGTTAAAGTGGGTCCAGTTTTTAGCTAGTTTTAGTTTAAGTTTAGTAGTCTTACGGTGGAATAAATCTTGCCATAATCTTTAGCTTTTGTAATCCTTTAGCTTACAAAGTTTACAGTAGCCTTTAGCTTACAAAGTTTACAGTAACCTTTAGCTTTTAAAGTTTACTGTAACCTTTACCCTTTAAAGTTTAGTTTACAGTAACCTTTACCTTTTAAAGTTTACTGTAACCTTTAGCTTTTAAAAGTTACTGTAACCTTTTGCCTTTTGAAATCTTACCTTAACCAAACGGTTACTCTCAAAGCAAAATGATTTTTGGTGTCTTGAGATTGTAAAGGCAAAATCAATTAAAGATGAAGAACTTGGGTGCACCAGAAAGGGTGCGTTTATAAGAAAGCATCTCACCGTTCAGGCAATTATCCTCTCCTTTACTTATTTCATCTTTCTCACTCCGCATTTCATCTTTCTCCCAGCCACTTTCGAGAATCAAGCCGCGAAAAAGGTGCAATTGTTGGCGGTAAGTGTTCCCCATTCGATGGCTCGTATGCTATAATCGTATGCTATAATTGTATGCTCTAATGTTTAGCATAAAATTCATAGGATCATTCAGTTTATCAAGAGATCCAGATCATCCAGTTTATCATCCAGTTTTCCATAAAATTCCAGGATCATCCAGTTTATCAAGAGGTTTGGGCAGGAAATGTTTCAAAGATCGATGAAAAAGTGATCATCTTTTATATGAATGGAGACAATTCTCTTGCCAAGTATATCATTGCCGAGACAGTGCTTGGATCGGTGAGATTTAAGCTTATCAGATACTTGTCAGATGATTCTAAAGTCTGTCCAGATTACCATAAGATTACCGTAAGATTACCGTAAGATTACCATAAGATTTTTAGCTTCATAGCTCTTTTTATCAAAGTCGATCTTTCTCTTGTAGATCTTTCTCTTGTAGATTCTAATAGAAAGAATCTACAAGAGAAAGATCTACTTTAGCTAGCTTTGTAGCAAAGTTATGTGAATGGTTTACGGTAGGAAAACGAGATTTAGAAATCTTTTCTTTACTAGATTCTCGGCTTCACAATGAGCTGGTTTTGGATGCACACTGTGTACATTTTTCGACAAAAGGGCAAATACTCGAATGCAACAAAACAGCTACAGTACAAGAAGTACTTGGTGAATCTCAGCTCACAGGTAACTCAGATCTTTACAGAGATCTTTACAGAGAACTTTACAGAGATCTTTACAGAGATCTTTACAGGAATATTTACAGAGATCTTTACAGGGATCTTTACAGAGATTTGCATGCTTAGAAATTCGTTCTACTTCTCTTAAACCCCCCTTTTCTTTTTAGATGACTGTTCCAATGATGACCATGATGTATCCAGGCTCACTTCTCGGTTTAGTCATCATCTTTCAAGTGTGGAATGTTCAAGGTTTAAACCCCTCCCCTTAAACTTTTATTACAGAAAATTCTTTACAGAAATTGTTCAAATTGCAATCTTTTTGTTTTCTTGTCACGGGATTGTTGGAACGATATCGATTCTTTTAATGAATGAACATTACAGGAATTATTTGAGTGAACGCTTTTTTAGTGAGTTGAAAAAACAGAGATCATTTGTTATTATTTTCTCTAATAGTAGTGCAAACTGTTGAGCCGAGTTGGTGACTGATTTTACAGTTTCCAAGCTTTCCCAGAAGCTCAACACTTAAATCCCCCACTAGATCTCATCGCTAGCTACATACTATTAGAGATCAAGCGGTGTTCTTGCGGCGCTCTCTGTGCACACGCACAATCGCGCACTTTCTGGCATAGGGGGTTTACACATAGCAAGCCGGGGGTCGTGTGTCCATCAGATTTCTTGGGGTCTTGTCCAAGGCTTAGGCGCTCAAGGCTTAGGCGCTCAAGGCGCTCAAGGCTTAGGCGCTCAAGGCGCTCAAGGCTTAGGCGCTCAAGGCGCTCAAGGCGCTCAAGGCTTAGGCGCTCAAGGCGCTCAAGGCGCTCAAGGCTTAGGCGCTCAAGGCGCTCAAGGCGCTCAAGGCTTAGGCGCTCAAGGCGCTCAAGGCTTAGGCGCTCAAGGCGCTCAAGGCTTAGGCGCTCAAGGCGCTCAAGGCTTAGGCGCTCAAGGCGCTCAAGGCGCTCAAGGCTTAGGCGCTCAAGGCGCTCAAGGCGCTCAAGGCTTAGGCGCTCAAGGCGCTCAAGGCGCTCAAGGCTTAGGCGCTCAAGGCGCTCAAGGCTTAGGCGCTCAAGGCGCTCAAGGCTTAGGCGCTCAAGGCGCTCAAGGCTTAGGCGCTCAAGGCGCTCAAGGCGCTCAAGGCTTAGGCGCTCAAGGCGCTCAAGGCGCTCAAGGCTTAGGCGCTCAAGGCGCTCAAGGCTTAGGCGCTCAAGGCGCTCAAGGCTTAGGCGCTCAAGGCGCTCAAGGCTTAGGCGCTCAAGGCGCTCAAGGCTTAGGCGCTCAAGGCGCTCAAGGCTTAGGCGCTCAAGGCGCTCAAGGCTTAGGCGCTCAAGGCGCTCAAGGCGCTCAAGGCTTAGGCGCTCAAGGCGCTCAAGGCGCTCAAGGCGCTCAAGGCGCTCAAGGCTTAGGCGCTCAAGGCGCTCAAGGCGCTCAAGGCTTAGGCGCTCAAGGCGCTCAAGGCTTAGGCGCTCAAGGCGCTCAAGGCGCTCAAGGCTTAGGCGCTCAAGGCGCTCAAGGCGCTCAAGGCTTAGGCGCTCAAGGCTTAGGCGCTCAAGGCGCTCAAGGCTTAGGCGCTCAAGGCGCTCAAGGCGCTCAAGGCTTAGGCGCTCAAGGCGCTCAAGGCGCTCAAGGCTTAGGCGCTCAAGGCTTAGGCGCTCAAGGCGCTCAAGGCTTAGGCGCTCAAGGCGCTCAAGGCGCACTACTATTAGAGAAAATACGATATTATTTATGTTAATATAATAAAAATAAAGAATAGAGATAGAAAAAAAGAAATGAGAAATGTTTTAGACACAGTGAGTGGTGAAGAGCGAACGCAAGCGATTTCATTGAATGCTGTCTTGCAAAGTTCAAAGAAAAACTCGACTCGACCATCAACTGCTCAACCGGCAATCATTATGGGATAAAATCAATGAAATCTTTAACGGTTAACGGATAAACAAAGCCGAACTTTCAATGAATTTCAATTTTGCATCAACTTTCAATTCAAATCGTTTTTATCGAGTTTTCTATTTAGAAATTTTCATAAAACAAATGATTTTTGAAAGTTGAAATTGAAAAGTTATTTAAATCTTCTTAAATCTTAAAATTTTCTCATCTCATAAGTTTAAGATGCTTTAAAATAAGCTTAAAAGTTGATGTTGTTGATCGTAAAGATTTCAATGATTTCTAAATAGCTGTGTACTCGAATGTAAACAAACTTTTTGGCTGACTTACTGTATTCATTTCTCCTTCCTCCTTCCTCCTTCTTCCTTTAAAATAAGCTTAAAGTTGATGCTGTTGATCGTAAAGATTTCATTGATTTGTAAATAGTTTCTCTATCGACTACTAAACGATAGAGAGACTATTTGCAAAAGTCTCTCTATCGACTACTTCACTACTCTCTATCGACTACTAAAACGAGCGTTCTAGTAGTCGATCGAGAGTAGACATGTTTTAAAATAAAAGCTTTTCTCATAACAATAAGTTTAGCAACTCCGAAACTTATATCCGAATATCCGTTTATATCCGAACAACCTAATAGCTGCATATTCAAATGTAAACAAACTTTTTGGCTGGCTTACTGTATTCATTTTTCATTTCTCCTTCCTCTTTCCTCTTTCCTCCTTCCTCCTTCCCCCTTCCTCCTTCCCCCTTCCTCCTTCCCCCTTCCCCCTTCCTCCTTCCTCCTTCCCCCCTTCCTCCTTCCCCCTTCCCCCTTCCTCCTTCCTCCTTCCCCCTTCCTCCTTCCCCCTTCCCCCTTCCTCCTTCCTCCTTCCCCCTTCCCCCTTCCCCCTTCCTCCTTCCTCCTTTTTCTTTGATTTTATGAAAAAGTAAAGAATTCAATGCACGAGAAAATGTTTGTTTCGAAATTTCTGAAAGGTTTTTTATAATCATTTTTATAATCATTTTTATAATCATTTTTATAATCATTTTATCATCATTTTTATTCAAATCATCTTGAAAAATCGAAATTTCTATGCAAAAATAAAGCGAAATCCTCTCGCTTATTCCCTCTCGCTCATTCCCTCAACCATTTCTCGATATTTTTCAAATCTTCATCAATACTCGTTTCACCCATTTTTTGCGCCTCCACTTGAATATCTTGATACAAAGCCGTTGATCTGAAAATTTTACAAAATAAACAATTCCATGAAATTCTCCACATCGAAAAACCAAAGTTACTAAAATTTACAGCAAAATTACTCAAATTTAGATGATTCTAGAAGCTTTTCTAGGTTTCTTGGGTAATTAAACCGAGCGGTATTTTTTGGGTACCGTTCAAGCAGTGTGCCAGAGGGCTCGCGTTTACGGGAGCGCACTGAGAACGAGGATCGCTTGCGCAGTGTTGGGGTGACGTTCGAGCAGTGTGCCAGAGGGCACGTGTTTACGGAAGCGTACAGACGTACAGACGTACAACGAGGGTCACTTGAGTGGTGCTGGGGTTCAAGCAATGTGCGAGCAGTGTGCCAGAGGGCATGCGTTTACGGAAGCGCACTGAGAACGCGGTTTAAGCAATTTTTAACGGCTCACTTAACTCCCAGTGCGGGAGATTTAGTGCGTTGTGGTGTAGTGGTTGGCACAGTTGCCCGGTAAGCAAAAGGTTGCGGGTTCGAGCCCCAGCGGCCCGAAACTTTTGATCTGTCCTAGTTCCAATTGCTTTCCACATATGAAAAAGGTTTAAATTGTCATATGTGCTGTTTTTAACCGTATTTTCTTCTAGCTTACTGTAGCGTTGACTTATTTAGCGAATTCCCAAAGAAACTTACAAATATCTCTCGCCAAAGCTGTTCACGGCGGTCACAATCAATTTCCCTTTGTTTTCCGGTCGTTGAGCTAACTGAAATGAGAAGATTTTTGAATAAAATAGTTTTTATGTATTGGCTTTTCTGGAGTTTACGGTATTTTTCGTATCTTTATCTTAATTCTGTGTTCTGATTCTGAAATGAAAATTATGTGGTCTGATTAGCTGAAGCTAGCTGATTAGCTGATTAGCTGAAGCTAGCTGCTTAGCTGAAGCTAGCTGCTTAGCTGAAGCTAGCTGCTTAGCTGAAGCTAGCTGCTTAGCTGAAGCTAGCTGCTTAGCTGAAGCTAGCTGCTTAGCTGAAGCTAGCTGCTTAGCTGAAGCTAGCTGCTTAGCTGAAGCTAGCTGCTTAGCTGAAGCTAGCTGATTAGCTGAAGCTAGCTGATTAGCTGATTAGCTGAAGCTAGCTGATTAGCTGAAGCTAGCTGCTTAGCTGAAGCTAGCTGCTTAGCTGAAGCTAGCTGATTAGCTGAAGCTAGCTGATTAGCTGAAGCTAATCAGAACACAGAATCAGAACACAGAATTTTCATTTCGAAAAGCCTAGATTAACTTTTCTCTTTTTTCAAGCATTCAATAATAAAATTTGAAAGAAAAACTATTAGTTTTCAAAGAAAACGAGAAACAAACCCGAATAGCAGCGACAAGATTTGCTCCAGACGAGATGCCACCAAGAATGCCTTCCTCTTTCGCTAAACGTTTAGCCATCGCGATTGCATCATCTAGAATAAAAAAAAGACTATATTTGCTATCAATTGTAAACAATTTCAACCGAATTTCCTTAAAGATTACGGTAGTTTTTTGATTGATTTATATTACAATTTTTATGAAATCAATAAAATGTTTACTCAGTGATGGACACAATTCAATTCGTGATGATTTCGATTAGATGATTATAAGATGGTTATTAGATGGTTATTAGATGGTTATTAGATGGTTATTAGATGGTTATTAGATGGTTATTAGATGGTGATTTGATGGTTATTAGATGGTTATTAGGTTATTAGATGATTATAAGATGGTTATTAGGTTATAAGATGATTATAAGATGGTTATTAGGTTATAAGATGGTTATTAGATGGTTATTAGGTTATTAGATGATTATAAGATGGTTATTAGGTTATAAGATGGTTATTAGATGGTTATTTGATGGTGATTTGATGGTGATTTGATGGTGAATGGTTATTAGGATGATTCATACATCATCTAATAACCTATTGGGTTGGGGAGAATGAGTGAGTCGGCGCCGAAATTTAAAGAAACTTTTTGCACCCATAAAACCTTCTTTAAATACACGTTTTGTTTCATCAAAATGGTCCACTATTTCTTTAGAAAATGGCTTTTTGAGAGATTCCACAAAGCTTTTCTTTTTTAGGTTTTTATGGATTCCCAAACACAGCTAATCAAAATGACCAAAAAGTGCGACTCATTGCTTGAACAGTTTCTTCCACATAAACCTCCTTTGGTGTTTAGATAAAAAAGATAGAGCACACTCAATTACATAAGTTACCAAAGTTTCAGGAAGATCCCTCCAACCGTTTACTCTAGATGATAGTTTATCGATTTTGTGAAAAAAAAAATGATCCTTTGTTGATCCTTTGTTGTTCCTTTGTTGAGTTGAGGCGCTGTTTGAGTTCTCTTTTAAATATTATTTTTTGTAGAGATATTAGCCACCCTTCTACGGATATCAAACGCATATCATTTGACAAAGTCTGCTATAAGTTTTAGAAATTTCTTTGATTTTCGGCGCCGACTCATTCTCCCCAACCCAATAGGTTATTAGATGATGTATGAATCATCCTAATAACCATTCACCATCAAATCATCATCAAATCACCATCTAATAACCATCTAATAACCTAATAACCATCTTATAATCATCTAATAACCTAATAACCATCAAATCACCATCAAATCACCATCTAATAACCATCAAATCACCATCTAATAACCTAATAACCATCTAATAACCTAATAACCATCTTATAATAATAATAATACTTTATTCAAACGATAAAGTGAAAGAAATGATAGAGAAATGCACAGTGATACTTAATCATACAATACATACTGAAATCAATAAGCCAATTACTTACGGCAAAGAGCCACTAGATCTAAAGCATCGATACGTTTCTTGAATATGAAAAGCCACTGAATTTCTCGTATGTCGTTTGGGAGCAAGTTCCATAATCTAGCGGCTCTAACGGGAAATGAATTTGATAAAGAGGCATTGGAAGCAAAGGGAATTTGCAAAAGGAATGAGCCACTTCTGGGCCCTGACCGCGGTTTAAATTTGAAAAAGTCTATAAACAAAGGGCTAATCTGTTTACAACGGAGGATTTTGAAAGTTTCGACTAAATCAATGACAAAGCGACGATGCTGTAAAGTTTTTAGTTCAAAAAAAAGCAAGTCTCTCCTCATAAGTAAAGCTAGAATATTTAGAATAGTCAATTTTCCATAAAGCGACTTTTGTGAACCTCCCCTGAATTTTCTCCAAGCGTTCAATAAAGACTTGTGCGCGGGGAGACCAAACAATAGAAGCATATTCTAAGATGGGCCGGATATAAGTCGTCAAGGATTTGCGGTAAGAGTTTAGGTTAGGATGAACAAATTGATTTGAGAATAATCATCTAATAACCTAATAATCTAATAACCTAATGAAATGATAGAGTTTAAGTGAATTAATACTCTTGTTTAATGAATAGATTACTTAGATTAGTTTATAGCAGATTCTAAAAGATCATAAAAGTATATTAAAGTTGGTTTTAAGTTGAGAAAAATGAGAATTTTCTGTTACTTAAGTGATTTGGATATATTTTTAGATAAATATTAAATATTACAATATTTCTAAGAGTATTGTAAGCTTTTAGTAGCCTTAGTTATCTTTGCTTTCCTTCTTTCCTTTCTTCTTTCCTTTCTTCTTTCCTTCCTTCTTCCTTCCTTCTTCCTTCCTTCTTCCTTCCTTCTTCCTTCTTTCTTCCTTATCTTTCCTTGAGGAAGGTGCAATGGTAGAGGATCAAGTTTGGTAAGCGAAAAGTGAATAGTTCAATTCCCAAATAGTCATTCTTTACTTTATTAATTAAAGACTATTATTTACTTATACAGAAAACGAAACAATATTATTTATTTATTTAATTGTTAAGTTTAAAATCTTGTTTTTACTTACCAGAGTGCACTCGAAGTGCCTCAGTGAAAAGGCTTTGATCAAGATTGTCAGGAATAAAAGCGACACCGATTCCTAGAAAATTTTCATATAATCTAAACGTCAATCAATCTATTTATAGAGTTGAAAAGGAAAGAACTTACTGTAAATACTGTAATAGTACCCCTGCGCCCATAATGACGGTGCGGAGTGTTGCGTCGTCTAGCTTTGAACCTTTGAACGAGTTTTTCTCGATACTGGTTTATGCTACAATGCGGGCTTAGATATCAAAAAATAGCTGAAATTCAGGGCTATTTTTTGATATATAAGCCCGCATTGTAGCTTAAACCATGGTCGAGAAAAACTCGTTCAAAGCTACGCTCAAAGCTACGTTCAAAGCTCAAAGCTCGTTCAAAGCTACGTTCAAAGCTCAAAGCTCGTTCAAAGCTACGCAACACTCCGCACCGTTATTATGGGGAGCTGGGGTACTATTACTGTATTTACGGTATAAACGAAATTCTCTCTTCAAACGATCACCTTGAATCTTGTGTGGAGTGTGCTGGAAGCCGTTGATCACCGATGATTCGTATGGTTCAACTGGGTACATCTAGAAAAGCTCTTTTATTATCCTTTGATTATTCTTTGATTATTCTTTGATTATTCTTTTTCAATTGCAAACATTTTTTTAATGTTCTAAGAATAATAAAGCCCAATTCTCTCACTTGTATATTCGGGTTTTTCTCTTTCAAAAAGCGACCAACTCCCGTGAATGTTCCAGCTGATCCGACGCCGAAAATTCCGATATCCACCTGAAATAGATCTAAATTGTAGATCTAAATATAAAAACGAATAAAAAAGATACTGTATTTTCTCTAATATTAGTGCACCAAGAGCGTCGCCTAAATTCCTCGAAATCTCGAGAAACGCTTATTAGAACCTATCGAACACTCGAATTACCCCTATAACCCCTCGGCTTGCTATGTGTAAACCCCTTATGCCAGAAAGTGCGCGATTGTGGGTGTGCACAGAGAACGCCGCAAGAACACCGCTTGATCTCTAATAGTAGTGCAGCGTCTCCTAAATTCCTCGAAATCTTGAGAACCGCTTATCAGAACCTATTGATGTGAGGTCGGAAAATGTAGCTAACGATGAGATCTAGTGGGGGATTAGAGGATTGAGCTTCTGGGAAAGCTTGGAAACTGTAAAATAGTCACCAACTCGGCTCAACAGGGTACACTACTATTAGAGAAAATCCGGTATTAGCGATTTTGATACAGTTATCATTTTTGAACACTTTTGAACACTTGAACACTAACTTTTCCTTCGGTTTGTGCCCAGATCTCTGGTCCAGTTGTTTGGTAGTGAGCGAGTGGGTTGGATGGATTTGAGTACTGAAAAACAAGAGAAAATCAGAGAAAATCACATGAGTAGTTTTAGATATGTTTAAGTGTTTAGCTTTTTTCTAGATTTTAAAATTATCTAGAAATTACCTGGTTGAGCATATGTGCGTTAGGGATTTGTTGAATCAACTCCGAGGCTCGTTCGACGGCAGCTTTCACAGCTGTGGCTGGGTTTGTCAAAACGCAAAGTGCACCGTAAGCCTGGAAATCGGAAATCAAATTCTATTAGATGTTAGATTGATATGTATATGTTGTGTCCGATTTAGATTTCCGTCCAATTTAGATTGAGCTTATCGCGAACGTCCGATTTAGATTACAGTCTATATCGGACGACCGATTTAGATTCAATCTAAATCTTATATATGTCGTGGCCGATTATGAATGAGTGGGTCTAGGAGTGTCCAATCATCAAGTATTTAGTATCATTCAACGCAGAATCATTGATAATTATGTTAAATTTTTTAAATTAGAAAGATTGGATAAAAATAAAAAAATTATGGGGCCTCAAAGTTTCCTCTTGAACAAACAGTTTTTTTTTTGCTCTAATTTTTTTTCTTTTTATCCAATCTTTCTAATTTAAAAAATTTAACATAATTATTAGTGATTCTGCGTTGAATGATACTAAATACTTGATGGTTGGACGCTCCTAGACCCCACTCATTCATAATCGGCTGAAATTCATCATCGGCTACGGGCGTTCCGCCGATTTTGAATGAAACGTTGTAGTGCCGGCAATTTTTAACCTAAACTCACAAATTTGGTACCAATCGACGCAGAATTGAACTCGCTACAAGATGATATAATATTGTCCTCATACATTAAAGGGTTGCTCTACTAGAAAGATTTGCCAAAAAATTTCATTCATAATCGGCTACGACATATATTAGGTTGATGCAAAAGTCTTTTTCATTTTTTTCGTACTTCTTTTGAAAAATAAAAAAGTCATCAATTAACCTATGGTTTGCTCTAAATGAAAAGTGTTTTATTGTTGAATTTCCCATCTTTTTAAGTCAATTTGGGTTCACTTTCAAGCAAATTCGAGAGTGAAAAACGGGTTTTTCATAAAAATCTATAAAAACCTCTATAAAGAAATTGGCTGAATCAATTTCTCTGAAAATCTGAAAAGATATCTAACTTTTTGTGCTCTATCTTTTATTTATTAACATCAAGATTGGTTTCCTTAGCTAAAGCGTCTAAAATGCATCATCGAGCCGTCGCCTTTTTTGACTACCCGACTTCAGGCTCTCAAAAAAAATCTAGACATAAGACATTTTAAACTCGTTTTAATGTCATTTTGCAGAAAAATAATTGGCCTTTCGAATGCAATAAACCGTTGTTCAATTGGTGCATTTGTTACTTTTTAACGGAAGTACGAAAAAAATGAAAAAGACTTTTGCATCAACCTAATAGATTGAAGAATAATATAAACATGCTTAATATATGTTCTTAAGCGTTTTCTGTAGTTTTCTGCATTTTTCAAAGGTCTTTTATTGATTACAGTCTAAATCGGACGTCCGATATAGACTGTAATCTAAATCGAACGGAAATCGAAATCGGACACAACATATACATAAATACGATTCTAGGTTTTTATAGAAGCATAGTAGCAAAGCTTTGACTATGATCTACAATCCTTTAAAACAACAAGGATTACGGTAGAAGGATCTTTAGAGGAAGCTTTACAGGAAGCTTTAGAGGAAGCTTGAGAGGATCTATCTGTTAATAGCTGTGGTAGTGCTAAGTGTACTAAAGAGGATCAAAGCTATGCTAAGAATAAATGTTAGAGTAGATGTTTAGGCTTTAGATTTTAGAGTTTAGAGTTTAGACTAGAGACTTTGGATTCTAGACTTTAGATTCTAGATTCTAGACTTTGGATTCTAGACTTTAGATTCTAGACTTTAGACTTTAGAGTTTAGATTGTAGACTTTAGACTCTTGATTTGAGATTCTAGACTTTAGAGTTTAGACTTTAGAATTTGAACTTTAGACGTTAGATTTTAGACTTTAGATTCTAGATTTCAGACTGAAGACTTTAGATTGTAGACTTTGAATTGTAGACTTGGGATTCTAGACTTTGGATTGTAGACTTTGGATTCTAGATCTTGGACTCCAGACTTTAGATTCTAGACTTTGGATTGTAAACTTTAGATTCTAGTCTTTAGATTCTAGACTTTAGATTCTAGACTTTGGATTCTAGACTTTAGATTCTAGACTTTAGACTTTAGATTCCTATAGACTCACTTTCATCAGCGCTCTCCTCTCAACGGACATCGACGAGGGCATTGTGAGGATCAATTTGTATCTAAAAAATTGACTAATAAACGTTAATTCATCTTTAAATAGATAAACAAAAACTAATAAAGTCTAATGAAGAAATGAAGAAGAAAAGAAATCACTTTTCAATTTAAACTTAAAGTAAATGAAATGAATGAAATGAATGAAATAAATGAAGTAAATGAAGTAAATGAATGAATGAAATGCTAGATTGTAGACAATTCAATTCAATTCAATTCAATTCAATTCAATATCTATTCAATATCTATTCAATATCAATTCAATTCAATTCAATTCAATTCAATTCAATTCAATTCAATTCAATTCAATTCAATTCAATTCAATTCAATTCAATTCAATTCAATTCAATTCAATTCAATTCAATTCAATTCAATTCAATTCAATTCAATTCAATTCCAATTCAATTCAATTCAATTCAATTCAATTCAATTCAATTCAATTCAATTCAATTCAATTCAATTCAATTCAATTCAATTCAATTCAATCCAATTCAATTCAATTCAATTCAATTCAATTCAATTCAATTCAATTCAAATTCAATTCAATTCAATTCAATTCAATTCAATTCAATTCAATTCAATTCAATTCAATTCAATTCAATTCAATTCAATTCAATTCAATTCAATTCAATTCAATTCAATTCAATTCAATTCAATTCAATTCAATTCAATTCAATTCAATTCAATTCAATTCAATTCAATTCAATTCAATTCAATTCAATTCAATTCAATTCAATTCAATTCAATTCAATTCAATTCAATTCAATTCAATTCAATTCAATTCAATTCAATTCAATTCAATTCAATTCAATTCAATTCAATTCAATTCAATTCAATTCAATTCAATTCAATTCAATTCAATTCAATTCAATTCAATTCAATTCAATTCAATTCAATTCAATTCAATTCAATTCAATTCAATTCAATTCAATTCAATTCAATATCAATTCAATATCAATTCAATATCTATTCAATATCTATTCAATATCTATTCAATATCTAAATTCAGATTTCGTTAAAGCTTTTTTTTTAAAAGCCTAATCCTTAAGGAAAGCCAGGAAAGAAGTGAGTAAAGTGAAAGAAAAAAACTTTTGCTTTTGTGAGGTGAATCAGAAAGAGCTCAAGAGAATTAGTGGAAGGGAAGTGGAAGGGATTTCAAAATTCGAAACTCACCCCCTCGCCGCGCAAAGCATCGACAACGCGATTCCCATATTTCCCGATGTTGGCTCAACGAGCACGGTTTTCCCCGGTTTAATTAAACCTTTCTTTTCAGCATCCTAAAAAGAAAAGAAGTCTAGCTATTCAATTAAGAGATTAAATAAGAATTTCTGAGTTTAGCTTTATTTATCCATAAAATTTTCTATCACTTTTTCTTACCTCAATCATCGCCAATGCGATTCGATCTTTCACCGAGCATGCCGGATTCATATACTCCATTTTAACAGCTAGAAATTTGAAATTAACTTTATAGATTTATAAATAGATATTTATTTATTTAAAAGCAGATATTTATTTATTTAAAAATAGATATTTATTTATTTAAAAATAGATTTAAAAATTAAATCCCCATAATAAAAGGAAGATTTTTTTTAGATAAAAAAAGAGAAAAAATTTTGATTTTCTTTTTTTTATCTAACTTTTTTAAAGTTTAAATATAATTTTAAAAAGAATTCGCAATTAAATAAAATGAATAAAATAAATGAATTAAGTAAATGAATTAAATTAAATGAATTAAATAAAATGAATTAAATAAATGAATTAAATTAAATGAATAAAATAAAATGAATTAAATAAATGAATTAAGTAAAATGAATTAAATAAAATGAATTAAATTAAATGAATTAAATTAAATGAATTAAGTAAATGAATTAAATAAATGAATTAAATTAATCCCTCTAATCCCCTACATTAAATGAATTAAATAAATGAATTAAATTAAATGAATATCTTTATCTTGTTATTCATTTCACAAACCAATCATCGCCTCAAGTCCTTTCGTGATCTTTTTCAACTTTAATAACGGTGTATTCCCGACGAGATCCAATGTTGATTCTTGAATTTTTCTTCGATTATCGTTTCGTGTCGAGAGAAACTAAAGAATAGAAATTAAATACCGCTTTTCTCTAATAGTTGTACACAGCCGAGTTAATGACTATTTTACGATTTTTAAGTTTACTGTCCGGGCAACTCTAACCTCTAACCATTGAGCTCTAATAGTGCACCCAGCCGAGTCGAGTTGATCACTGACTTTACAGTTCCCAAGCTTTCACAGAAGCTCAATCCTCTAATCCCCCACAAGATCTCATCGTCAGCTACATTTTCCGACCTCACATCAATAGATTCTGATAAGCGGTTCTCAAGATTTCGAGGAATTTAGGAGACGCTGCACAACTATTAGAGATCAAGCGGTGTTCTTGCGGCGTTCTCTGTGCACACGCACAATCGCGCACTTTCTGGCATAGGGGATTTACACATAGCAAGCCGAGGGGGTCTAGGGGTAAGTCGTGTGTCCATCAGATTTTTCATCGACATTTCCCGACCTAACATCGATAGGTTCTGATAAGCGGTTCTCAAGATTTTAAGGAATTTAGGCGACGATCGGAATGCACTACTATTAGAGAGAATCCGGTATTAAAGAAATATTCTAAAGATATTTTAATCTAATTCTTTTCTTAATCTAATCTAATTTCTATTAGAAATCGAAATAAAATCTCAAAAAAAACTGACCCGAAAATTATTTCCGAAAGATTTCGAAATGAGTTTCAGTGACATTTAGATAGATTTTAAAGAATAGTTTTGAAGAAATATGAAATAATTTCGATGTTAATAGTATAGTAGATTGATTCAAAGCGGAATTCATTTCAAAGGCTCTTTATATAGCGCTCAAAAAACGTGGGAACACGGAAGGAGCTGACCCTGTACCAGACGACTCCTCCCCTCCCTTGCCATCGAGTTCATCGCACTCCAAAAAGCAAAAATATTTCCGAAAACAGCTCCTATAGTCTATGCTCTGTTCGTTCAACCTTTCTTTTCTCTCTTTTCCCCCAAAAACCATGGGAATCTGATTGAAGTTTCTTGATCTCTCTTGATCTTTCTCAATCTTTCTCAATCTCTCTCAATCTTTCTCAATCTTTCTCAATCTCTCTTGATCTCTTTCCCCTTTCTCTCGATTTCCAATCGCAGACTCTATCCTTTCTTCCCGATTTGCCCACCCATTTCTCCCTTTTCTGCTTTAAATTTGTGCTTTTTAGAGCTCGACTACACAAAACATAATCGAGATTTGAAAGAATAGATAAAACAGAGATTTCTATCTTCTCTCTTGTTTTTTAAAATGAATTTGCAGCTAATGTAAAAACAGCTAATGTAGAAATAGATAATGTAGAAACAGATAATGTAGAAATAGATAATGTAGAAACAGCTAATGTAGAAATAGATAATGTAGAAACAGATAATGTAGAAATAGATAATGTAGAAACAGATAATGTAGAAACAGATAATGTAGAAATAGATAATGTAGAAACAGCTAATGTAAAAATAGATAATGTAGAAACAGATAATGTAGAAACAGATAATGTAGAAACAGATAATGTAGAAACAGATAATGTAGAAACAGATAATGTAGAAACAGATAATGTAGAAACAGATAATGTAGAAACAGATAATGTAGAAACAGATAATGTAGAAACAGATAATGTAGAAACAGATAATGTAGAAACAGATAATGTAGAAACAGATAATGTAGAAACAGATAATGTAGAAACAGATAATGTAAAAACAGCTAATGTAGAAATAGATAATGTAAAAAATTCAATACAAAAACAACTCTTTTAATTATCTAATCGATAGAAGCTCACAAACATTTCAAAGAAGCTCTCAAAGTTAGATTTAGCCTGGCGCTTGACCAGTTTTGGAGTTTTTGAAGTGACATTGAAAGGTGATTGGGAAATTTTTACACGAAATTTATTAGAAACATGTTTTACAACCGTCGATCATCGGAAAATCTCATAGAAAATGAACAAAATCGAGCTTATTTATGATTATTTATGATTTTCGTCATGTAAATCGAGATTTAATTGTATTTAGAAAGTTGAAAAAGAAAAGGAAACTGATTATTTTGTTCATTTTTAGTTTTTATAATTCATATGTGAAGATTTTTGTTTTGAAAACTAATAAAACAAAAAAAACTTAGCTTCTCTCATTAAGCAACTCGTTTTATTCAAAAAACCTCAAAACCAGATAGCGTTCAACTTTTTAAACACCTCTCGGCTTGGATTTACATGACGAAAAGCATAAATAATCATAAATAAGCTCGATTTTGTTCATTTTCTATGAGATTTTCCGATGATCGACGGTTGTAAAACATGTTTCTAATAAATTTCGTGTAAAAATTTCCCAATCACCTTTCAATGTCACTTCAAAAACTCCAAAACTGGTCAAGCGCCAGGCTAAATACGAGTCTAAACTTTGAGAGCTTCTTTGAAAAGTTTATGAGCTTCTTATCGGTTAGAAAATCGGCATCTCTACAGGAGACCCACTCAACATTTATCTGTGAAATCATAAATAAGCTCGATTCTGTTCATTTTCTATGAGATTTTCCGCGTAAACGATGACTGAAAGTTGTAAAGCATCTTTCTAATAAATTCTAATAAAAATTTCCCAATCAGCTTTCAATGTCACTTCAAAAACCCGAAAACTAAGTCAAACGCCAGGCTAAATGCGAGTCTAAATTTTGAGGGCTTCTTTGAAAAGTATTTTGGTAATTTTTAGCCTTTAAAATTCGTATTTGAACGCTATTCATTGAAAACGAATAAAAACTTTGCTTCTCTCAGCTCGTTTTATTCAAAAAACCCCAGAACTAGATCACGCGCTAGGCTAAATGCGACTCTAAACTTTGTGAGCTTCTTTGAAAAGTTTATGAGCTTTTTATCGGTTAGAAAATTGGCATCGCTATAGGAGACCTACTCAACATTTGTCTGTGAAGTTTTTATGGGAATCGGTTATCTTTTGATCGAGTTACACCCCTCGAGAGTGAGTAATGGGTAATTCTGACGTACCCTGTACTAGTGAATTGATCCACTCTAAATGAAATGCTTGTCATTTCTTTGTGAAAACTTTTATGATCATCAAAAAAGATCGATTTATTCGGCACTTTGTCAGCACAGTAAAGTAAAAGAATAAAATAGGGAATTAAGTGAAAATGAGCAAGAAAAATAGAAAAAAAAAATGGTGAAAGAGCTGATGGAAATACGAAAAAAAAAAGCTTTAATACATAATTTCAATTTTTAAAACAATTAGCCGAGCTTTGAATGCTCACAAATTTGCTTAGTGACTGGGTTATCGTTAACTTTTCTTTATCTATTTTAAATGAATGATTAAATAGAGTTCGATTTGATGAATGAAGATTTTGAGAGAATCGAGAGACACAATGCTAAAGTCAGGCTCTAGTAGATTAGAGCTTTCTAGTAGTTTGTGTTTCGGTTGAACCGGAAGGGTTCTTTTTCGGTTTGGTTTCGGTTTTGGTTTCGGTTAACCGAACCGAACCGAGAAAATCATCTTTTCGGTTAATCTGAATCGAGAAAATCATCTTTTCGGTTAATCTGAACCGAGAAAATCATCTTTTCGGTTAATCTGAACCGAACCGAAAGATTTCGCTTGACTTCGGCTAAACCAAAACCGAAGCGAACTGAAAAGAGCCAAAGCCAATGGCAAATGTTTGTACGATGATTAGGCACAATGTTACAAGGGTTTAAAGTGGGGTCACTTTTTCGAGATAATTTTGTTTGGGGTATTGTTCGTTTTTTTTTTGTTTAAGCTTCTAGTCTTTGTTGATTTAGTTGTTAAAATGATTATGGTGGAGTGGAATTTACGTAAAATCGAATTCAAAAACCTTTATAGCACATGCTTGCACGATGACTAGACACTAGAGCTTGAATTGAGCACAATGCACAATGCACAATGACACAATGACACAATGTCACTCGATTCTCGTTTGTAGTAGGCTATAGCGTAGCAATGAGACGACAGTAAGCTACAGGAATCAATCTACAGTATGTCAGAGCACAGAAATAAGTCTAAAGTAAGCTATAGTAAGAATAGCTATCGTTATAGCAGTAAGGGTAGCTATCATTATAGCAGTAAGGGTAGCTATCGTTATAGCAGTAAGGGTAGCTATCGTTATAGCAGTAAGGGTAGCTATCGTTATAGCAGTAAGGGTAGCTATCGTTATAGCAGTAAGAATAGCTATCGTTATAGCACAGTAATGCCATAACAAAGGTGAAATGCAAAGGAAAATAGGTTGAAAGTAAAAATGTCACTCGATTCTCTCAGAATTCATTCATCAAATCAGAAAATTCTCAAAATAAGAACGCTTTTATGGTGTTTATGATGTTTGTTTTTAGCTAAATGGCTAAATTTTTAAGGCTTTAGGCTAAATCTCCAGGTTTTAGCCCAATCAAGACACAAATCGCAACCGCCAACCCGACAGCGCAAACGATGTAGAGCAGAAGAATGGCCAATTGGAGACGCTGGATCTAGAAAAGATCTCTTCTTTTGCACTTTATGCCTATTGGAAACGCGTTTGATCTAATGTGAAAGCCAGTGCAATAGATGAAGTGTGTTTTGCACGGAGCACAGCTTTTTGCAAAAGAAGAGAGGAAAGGTCAGCTTTTGCTGTGTACTTTGAGTTGAGAAACACTCTCTTCTAGTGCACGTCTAGTTGTTGCTTTTAAAAGTGTACTTTGAGTTGAGAACCATCAACCCAAAAAAAAACACACCCTTCTGGCGCACTGAGTTCTTCGGATTCGGATTTGCATGATGTAGAAGGAAAATGTAGAAGTCAGTGCACTAGAAGTGCCCTCTACGTCCAAGATCCAAGAATTCAGTGCGCCAGAAGGGTGTGTTTCTCAACTCAAAAGTACTCAAAGTACACTCGCAAAAGCAACAACTGGCGCACTGATTTCTTCGTGACATTTACATGACATAAACGAAGAATTCTAAGTGCGCTAGGAGAGGTGTTTACAAGCATTTACAAGCTTCGTCGCATTCTAACAGCAAACTTTGAGCTTGTCATAAATTGACACAAACATTTTGCACTAAAAATGAAGAATTGAGTGCTCTTAAAATGAGCTCAAAGTTCACTATAGCAAAAGATTTAAAGTGTTTGAAGAAGAAGCATTGATAAATCGATTTTCGGAAAAAGACATCTTTTCTAGGCATTTTATGCTAGTCATCAGTTTTCAGCTTTTGGCTGTTTTTTGGCAGTTTTTAGCCTTTCAGCTTCAGATTTTGGTCACATTTTATGTAAGGATCTAAAGCTTTATTCAATTTGACTAAAATTGAGGGCTGATCAAATGGAAATTGATGTCAGGTTATGGTAGCTTTTCTAGAATTGATGTCTTTTGGAAAACAGCTTTTTCGGTGCTGAGAAATTTGTGATATTTTGCTTTTTTCGGGCAGAGATCCGGGTGATGCTCGAGAGGAAAACAGGGACAAAGCCCAGTTTTGAGATTATTAAGGAAAAGAAGAAAGGAAGGAAGAAAGGAAGAAAGGAAGAAAGGAAGAAAGGAGAGAAGGAAGAAAGGAAGGAAGAAAGGAAGGAAGAAAGAAAGGAAGGAAGAAAGGAAGGAAGAAAGAAAGGAAGGAAGAAAGAAAGGAAGAAAGAAAGAAAGGAAGAAAGAAAGGAAGAAAGGAAGAAAGGAAGAAAGGAAGAAAGGAAGAAAGGAAGGAGGAAGGGAAGGAGGAAGGGAAGAAAGGAAGAAAGGAAGGAGGAAGGGAAGAAAGGAAGGAATGAAGGCAGGAAGGAAGGAAGAAAGAAAGAAAGAAAGAAAGAAGGAAGGGAAGAAAGGAAGAAAAAGACACACATAGAACAGTATACAAGATATACTGTAGAATGAAAAAGTAAAAGCTTTAGCAGTACTTTGTGCTTGAATCTTGTAAACACAAGCTTTCTCGTGCACTGATTTTTTCAGGCTTTCAGAAAACTGAAGAATTCAGTGCACTAGAAGCTGCATGTTTAGAGCACAAAGTACATCACCTTGACGAGCTTTGTACTTTGATTTCGTCAACTGGAAACGGCTTCAATCTAGCGCACAGAAATCTGTTTTCGAAAAGAAAAAAAACCCAAGAATTCAAAGATTCAGTGCACCAGAGAGAAAGCGAAAGCTTTAGATTTGAGCACAGAAAAGTAAAAAAAAAGAAGAAGCTAAGAATCTGAACTACAACTTTAATGTTGTACTTTAATGAGTTGTTCAGGGACGAGCATCACCCGTCCACTGCCTTGTGCCCCGGCACCCACTCGAACCATCTCGATCTCATTTCCGACACCTCGACGCGAAACAAAGAAATCTGAAAAGATATTATTGAAAAGTAGCTCGAAAACAGCTCAAAAAGAGCTCAAAATGATATGAAAATCTTCTAAAATTGATCTATTTATCGAAAGCTACCGTAATCCAGCTGGCATTTCCCACTTATCATACATTCATTTACACTTTAGATCTAAGCTTTATCTTCTTCAGAATATTATTGACTTCAGATTTCTATTTCACTTCCCTACTTCCCCTACTTCCCTACAGCTTTCTATGTCACTTCCCTACTTCCCCTACTTCCCTACAGATTTCTATGTCACTTCCCTACTTCCCCTACTTCCCTACAGATTTCTATGTCACTTCCCTACTTCCCCTACTTCCCTACAGATTTCTATGTCACTTCCCTACTTCCCCTACTTCCCTACAGATTTCTATTTCACTTCCCTACTTCCCCTACACTCCCCCAAAAATCTTTTAGAGTTATCGACAGAGTTTAAAAGAAAGATTTCTACATTGTTGTCTAGACTCTTGTCTAGATTCTTGCCTACATTCTTGCCTAGATTCTGTCTAGATTCTTGCCTAGATTCTGTCTAGATTCTTGCCTAGATTCTGTCTAGATTCTTGCCTAGATTCTGTCTAGATTCTTGCCTAGATTCTGTCTAGACTCTTGCCTAGATTCTGTCTAGATTCTTGCCTAGATTCTGTCTAGATTCTTGCCTAGATTCTGTCTAGACTCTTGCCTAGATTCTGTCTAGATTCTTGCCTAGACGCTTGTCTAGATTCTTGTCTAGATTCTGTCTAGATTCTTGCCTCCATTCTTGTCTAGACTCTTTTTCTCTTACTTCGAATAAAGATCAACTCGAGCACGATCAACGTCAACCCAGCCACCGCAATATAAGCAATATAAAGGCCAAGAGCCGCGTCACGATTCGAGAACATCCCGTTGAAGTGAACGACTGCGATCATTGTCGCCGCCGCTGAAAGTTTGTTGGATTAGTCGAGATTTTCATCTAAATCAATTTAGTATTTGAATAAAAGAAAGAATAAAAGAAAGAATAAAAGAATTATAAAAGAATTATACAAATTATAAAAGTAAATACTAGATATTCTTTTATTCTAGTAAATACTGGAATAAAAGAATTTATCTAATATCTACTGTAGTCAACTAATAGTTTTTTTTTTTTTGCTAGTAAAGTCTCATTGAAAAAGCTTCATTCAAAAAGCAATCTACCAGCCATCAGCCAAGCACTAAAGCCGAAAAATCGATGGATCATGTTGAAGATTGGACGAGCCTAGAAGTTTTTATTTCTTTCAAATAATCCAATTCTTTACAATTCTTTACAATAGAGCCTTTTTCCTACCTTTGACTCCGGATTGCACCTAAAAACAGCGTTCAACGGTTGAGCCCAAGCGATCACACAAGCCAGCAGACCGAGAATCGAATGGATTGAGCTCCAGGCTTGATTCTAAAAAAAGAATTCATAAAGATTCGATGATTTCTCTGATTTGATTTCTCTTTGAGTCTAAAATTGATGATTTTCTTGCTTAAAGAACTCGATTTTTGATTCGATTAATTCGATTACTTCAGCCGTTGACGCGTTGGCTTTTGGTCCACTCCATTGCCAACCATTTGCGACGAAAATCAAAACAAACGCAGCAATCGTCATCCCGACACCGATCATGTTGATCGTTCGATGAAACTGTAAATGATTCATCTTCTAAAATGTCCCCAAAGGCTTGTAGCCTTCTAAAAGCCGAGTTTCTCATTGTCAGACTACTGTGATCCTACCGTCTTCCTACCGTAATCCAACCGTAATCTTACCGTAATCCTGCCGTAATCTTACCGTAATCTTATCGTAATCTTATCGTAATCCAATCATAAGAAAGCGGGGATGTTTACGGTCAAATTATGGTAGGATTACCATAAAAGTATGCTAACCCTACAGTAGACCTATCGTAGCCCTACCGTAACCCCATCATGATCCCACAATCCTACGGCTTACTTATGGCAATCCTACCGTAATCTTACCGTAAGCCTACAGTAGACCTTTCATAATCCTACCGTAACCTTACCGTAAGCCTACAGTCGACCTGTCGTAACCTTACCGTAACCCTACTGTAACCCTACAGTAGACCTGTCGTAATCCTACGTAAATCAATCATAATTCTACCGTAACCCTACAGTAAACTTGTCGCAACCCTACCCAAACCCAATCATAACCCTACCGTAACCTTACAGTAAACCTGTCGTAACCCTATCGTGACCCCCACAATCCTACGGTACTCTTGTGGCAATCCTATCGTAATCTCATCGTAAACCCTACCGTAAATCTACCGCTTTCTATCTACAGTAATCCTTTAAGCCTACCGTAGCCCTTATAAAACCCCAACCAAAACCCACATTAAACCACATTTTCACGCCGAGCATCGTCGTGTTCGGCCAATGACCGCGGAAATGTCGAGCGAAGAGAATACCCGTGAAAATGAACACCGACCACGCCAAAACCATCAGAATCCCTGAAACAGTGCTCCAGATAGGGTGCGTTTAGGAAACTCGAGCACAAAGTGCACTTTGAGCCAGCTTTTAGCGGTCTGAATTCCGTATTGAAGTCAAAAAGGAAGTCCGCCAGAAGGCGGGGTGTTTTTGAGAGATTTGAATGCACTCACCATGAGCAATCTTCAGCTTATCGTTCGTGCTGTGCTGGGTGCCCGATGTGGCACCCTGACTGCCTGGATCGTCTCCTAAAATTTCTTTAAAATATTTAATTAACAGGGTTTACTTGTTTTATCACTTTTCTCCAATAAAACCAAATAAAATTAAAATAATAATCAGAGAAAACTTGAAGATAAGTAGATTTAAGTGCTAGGTATTTAACAGAAAAATTCCTGATGGTTAAGTAAAATTGTTAGAGAGGAGAAGTTGAAGCAAAAAACATGTGATTCTTGTTAGTAAAGGTGATCAAAACCCTCACCCGACCCACTCTGAATCGTTTGACCGAAAGCATTTGTGCCGTATCTCCCGATATCCGTCCTTGGCAAAACCCAACGATTATTCGAGTGATACGTGGGAACTAAAACATTTTTGAAGGAATTGATTTAAAGATCATTTACATCCTAACAAGTTGGGTACAGTAATTGTCTAGTACTATTGCCGTTAGTACTACAGTACTCTTGCCGAGTACTATTGCCTAGTACTCTTGCTTAGTAGTCTTGCTTAGTGCTATTGTCTAGTACTATTGTCTAGTACTATTGTCTAGTACTATTGTCTAGTACTCTTGTCTAGTACTCTTGTCTAGTACTCTTGTCTAGTACTATTGCCTAGTACTCCTATCTAGTACTATTGTCTAGTACTCTTGTCTAGTACTCCTGTCTAGTACTATTGCCTAGTACTCCTGTCTAGTACTCCTGTCTAGTACTCTTGTCTAGTACTATTGTCTAGTACTATTGTCTAGTACTATTGCCTAGTACTCCTATCTAGTACTATTGCCTAGTACTCCTATCTAGTACTCTTGTCTAGTACTATTGTCTAGTACTATTACCTAGTACTCCTGTCTAGTACTCTTGTCTAGTACTATTGTCTAGTACTATTGCTTAGTACCATTGTCTAGTACTCTTGTCTAGTACCATTGTCTAGTACTATTGGGTTAAGTGGCTACTAGATATTGATTTGCTCGGTCGATCTTTGAAAATGAAAGTGAAATTAGGTTTGAATTTGGAAACGATTTGGATTTTTCTGTTTGATAACACACTTCCATTATCCAGCGGTCCATCAGCCATCAGCACATAATAGGTTCCATTTAGGTCGAAAATCTAAATGTTATTGAACAGATTTTAAGGATTCTGAAAAAGAAGAAAGACTACGCGACAATACAGGAACGATACGCGACACTACTTTTGGTATTCCAGGTTTTACTGAAAATTTGTTTTGTGACCGAAAAACCCCCTAACCCCGCGTTTTTGGTCTCATCGTTTTGAGGAGATTTTTTTGTCGACGAGTGGCGCAGTCGGCAGCACGTCATGCTGCAGCCCACACGATCCGGGTTCTAGTCCCGAGTGTCACTCTCGGGTCTGGTTTTTTGAATTTTTTTGAAACAGCACAACTACAATAGATTCTAAGGTTTTCTAGGGGAAACCTGTGCATCGCCAGTGTTCCCTAATTGTCTCCTCAGCACACAGTAGACATTTCCATTTGTGGCGCTCGCTTGAATGGTCGTTTGAACAGGCGAATTCTAGAAATGTTTAGATATTTCGTTATAGAAAAAGCTACCGTATTTAGATGTAATTTAGATAGATATTTGTTGATTTATTACAATTTTAGACCTTGACAGTGATCGATTTCGCTGGCGTGTACGCGAGAAGTCCTGTCGTTTGACCGTTATTCGAAACGCATGCGCTCACTGAGTCGTCTCCCTGTAACGAAATTTAAGCTCAAATAGAAACGTCAACTTTCTAGTGCACTGAAGTGCATTATTTGATAACTTGATTACATTGATTGATAACGTTACAATGCTTGACGATCGTTTGAAGAGTCTGCAGAGCTTTGTCGCTTTTAAACATCAATTAGCAATTTTCACAGAATAAGAAAGAACTCATTGTACTTGAAATGCTTTTAGAAGCTTTTAGAAGCTTTTAGAAGCTTTTAGAAGCTTTTAGAAGCTTTTAGAAGTCTTTTGGAAGCTTTTATGAGGTTTTAGAAGCTTTTAGAAGCTTTTAGAAGCTTTTAGAAGCTTTTAGAAGCTTTTAGAAGCTTTTACAAGTTTTGAGAAGCCTTTTGGAAGCTTTTATGAGGTTTTAGAAGCTTTTATATGCTTTTATAAGCTTTTATAAGCTTTTAGAAGCTTTTAGAAGCTTCTATGAGATTTTAGAAGATTTTAGAAGATTTTAGAAGCTTTTATATGCTTTTACAAGCTTTTATATGCTTTTATAAGCTTTTAGAAGCTTTTATAAGCTTTTACAAATTTTGAGAAGCTTTTAGAAGCTTTTAGAAGATTTTAGAAGATTTTAGAAGTTTTTATAACCTTTTATAACCTTTTATAACCTTTTATAAAGCACTCACTCACCATTGAATTATCTTTCGAGAACCCTACAGCCACAAAGCCAGCTTGAGGATTCGGTGGTTGACCAGAGATCTCCATTTGAAGGGTTTGACCGTTTTGAACCTAAATAAATGACTTTAGATCAATTTTCTTATCTTACAGTTATCTTATTTATTCTTTTTTTATAAAATCAATGAAAATCTCTTTTTGAAAGAAAAGATTACTAAATGATTAAATGAAAAGATTACTAAAGTGATCACAAAAGATCACTTCTCAAGAAAAGCATCACTAAGTCTACTTGAAAGAGAAACGAATTTGAAAAAAAATGATTTCAAAATTGAGCAAACAATTGACTGGAAATGAGCGGAAAATTGTTAGAATAAAATAAAAAAAATAAATAATGATTTGATCTGTCTTCGCACTTAGCGCAGATCACAACCCGCTTCCACATTTACTGAGGCAGAAGTGTAGTTGTCGTAGCCGATGATACTCCGATGGCCGGGCTGGGGCGCTCGGAGGGGAGCCCATGGGAGTCGAACCCACGACTAACCCGCGCCGACGATTGTTAGAATTGAAGAATTAAATTGAATTGAAATTGAAGAATTAAATTGAATTGAAATTGAATCAATCAAATTGATTTGAAATTGAACAATCAAATTGAATTGAAATTGAAGAATCAAATTGAATTGAAATTGAAGAATTAAATTGAATTGAAATTGAATCAATCAAATTGATTTGAAATTGAACAATCAAATTGAATTGAAATTGAACAATCAAATTGAATTGAAATTGAAGAATTAAATTGAATTGAAATTGAAGAATCAAATTGAATTGAAATTGAACAATCAAATTGAATTGAAATTGAAGAATTAAATTGATTTGAAATTGAAGAATCAAATTAAATTGAAATTGAAGAATCAAATTGAATTGAAATTGAAGAATCAAATTGATTTGAAATTGAAGAATCGATCCTCTTTAGTCAACTATGAAAAGCACCTTTAAACAAAGCGTTCACTATCGAGTTTTGATTAACGTATTCTCTCGAATAGTAGTGCCGAGTTGATGCCTATTTTACGGTTTCTAAGCTTTCACAGAAGCTCAATCCTCTAATCTCCCACTAGATCAACCCAACAACAACAAGAACGTCACCTAGATTTTCCGAGACCTCAAATCGATAGGTTCTGATAAGCGGTTCTCGAGATTTCGAGGAATTTAGGTGACGAAGGCAAATTTTGATTTTAAAGATCTAAAAACAAAAGGAAAAGCCATAAAAGTTTTTGCAAAAAAAAGAAAGTTTTTCGCAGGTTGATCTGAACGAAAATGGTCGAGTGAGATTATGAACCAGCTATCACGTACCAATCCCACTATCTGGCTATGCTTGAAGTGAGGGGGAAAAGATGCTATATAGCCCCGAGCTTTGATTTTTCGTCTAGATGCCGAAACTTTGCACGCTTCATTTCTCGAAAACCAGGAAGCCTCAGCAAAAAACGAAAAGCGCCATCGTGATCCCCATTCTCGACTTGTGTTTGCGTATTTTTTAAGAGTTAAAATATCAACATCACTTTTAATTATTCCCCTTGTGAGTTGATTTAGTAATTACCGTATTTTTTTTCTAATAGTAGTGCACCCTGAGCGTCACCTAAATTGCTTCAAAACTTGAGAACCACTTATCAGAACCTATCGATTATCAGAACCTATCGATGTAGGGTCGGAAAATGTCGGTGACGATGAGATCTTGCTGGGGGATTTGAGGGTTGAGCTTCTGCGATGGCTTGGAAACCGTAAAATAGTAAAATAGTCAGTTTTTAAAGTCAAAACATGACCATTCCCTTGTCAGAGGGATTTTTTTTTAAAAAAACACTATTGAGGTGTTCACTAACGAGATTCGACTGTATAAGATTGAAAACAATCAATAAAACGATGAGTTGTTGAAAGTTTAAGCTTTTGCTAATACAGAACAAAACTATTAATGATTTTTTTTTTTTACCTGATAACTGAAAGATATTCGACAATCCTGTGAAGGCACACAACCAGTTGGAGCAAAGAGACATCCTTTCGTTTGACCGCACGTTGACGGGTCAAAAGTCCCTTGTGCGAGGGAGGTCTGGAAAGAAAGGATGAAAATATTCTTCTAGAAGCACACTGGCTAGAGGCACGACTGATCAGGCAATGGAAAGTCCCCTGCACTAGCTAGAAATCAAATCAGAGTCTAGCTCTAGCTCTGACCTAGAAGACCTGAAGAACTGTGGACCCAATTGTTACTATAACAGCGGCAAACGCTCACTTTGTTCGCGTTTTCTGCTGGGGAGGCAGGAAACCCAATTTTGATGTTAGGCTTGCCCCCTTTTTAAAAACGAACCTAAAAGTCAGATTCCCGATAGCTGAAAAACCCCGGGGGCAAAATATCGCGCGCAAAACCTGAATACTTTACCTTTTAACCGATAGAGCAAACGTAATAACGGAGCGTCGCGTTTGCGCACAGATGGACGGACAGACAAACGGACAGACGGCCGGACGGACGGACGGACCGGCGGCTGGACAGACAGACAGACGGGCGGATGAACAGACAGACAGACGGACAGACAAACGGACGGACAGCTGGACAGACAGACGGACAGACGGACGGACGGACGGACGGACAGACGGACGGACGGACGGACGGACAGGCGGCTGGACAGACGGCTGGACAGACGGACAGACAGACGGACGGACGGACAGACGGACGGACAGACGGACGGACAGACGGCTGGACAGACGGCTGGACAGACGGCTGGACAGACGGACAGACGGACGGACGGACAGACGGACGGACAGACGGACGGACAGACGGCTGGACAGACGGCTGGACAGACGGACAGACAAACGAACAGACAAACGAACAGAAAAACGGACAGAAAAACGGACAGGCGGGCGGACAGACGGACGGACCTCTGTTCTGATTTATATCTAGTAGATTCTCGTATCTCCATCTTACTGTACCCATGTTACTGCCTACAATTTGAGCGAACTTACCTGAATGAACAGGAAACCGGTGAGCAATCGGAGAATCATTCTGAAAAAAAGAGCTATTTGTATCAATTGAACATTGAATAGATGAAAAATTCAGAAAGACTAATAAATAATGAAAGATATATGCGTTTAAAAATACATTCAAAAGAATTTTCAATCGGGAAAAGAGTGAATAACTAACTGAACTAACTGAAAAAGCAGTTTACTAACTGGTTTTTCATTTAGTTCAGTTAGTTCAGTTAGTTCAGTTAGTTCAGTTAGTTCAGTTAGTTCAGTTAGTTTATTTAGTTCAGTTAGTTCATTTAGTTCAGTTAGTTCAGTTAGTTCAGTTAGTTCAGTTAGTTCAGTTAGTTCATTTAGTTCATTTAGTTCATTTAGTTCATTTAGTTCATTTAGTTCAGTTAGTTCAGTTAGTTAACTAACTTCAGTTTACTAACTGAAAAACCTCGAAATTTCGTGTCTTTTGTAGGAAAATCGTTCAAAATCGACTTTTATTTTAAAAATTATCGAAAATTATCGAAATTTTTTGAAACTAAACTCTTGTTTAATTCGAAAAAAGTTGCAAAGAAAAGATTTTCGCATTTTTGATTTGAAATTCGGTTCGAAATTCGAAATTTGAAATTCTCTTAAATCTTCAAAAGATTTTGATCAAAATAAAGCTAACTTTTGACTGAACAAATTCGATTTAGTCAACAAAATCGTTAACTTTTCAACTTTCTTTTTTTTTTTCTATTTTCTATTTTCTATCGCTTAAAATCCTGACAAAATTCTAGAAGAGAGAGCACAGAAAGAGAGCAATTATTTACCTGCAGAAAAGAAAAGCTAAAAGAAAAGCTAAAAGAAAAGCTAAAAGAAAAAAAAGGGAAAGCAAATTTTTTGGCCAGCTTTTTATGTTTGATTTTGAGTCAAGAGAGAAAAGGAAAGTGGGGAGGAGTGGAGGAAGAGGGGTGCTTGGAAGAGGTGAGAGAAGGCGGCAAATCCAATGGACTCACCTTTTGATTAGTTCAGGATTTTAAGAGTTTAAATATTTAACGAAAAAAAAAGGAAAAATTGAGTAACCCAGAAGCAGTCTTGGAAACGGTTGTTTTTCGCTTGGCATTGGCTTGGTACTCGCTTGGCATTGGCTTGGTACTCGCTTGGCATTGGCTTGGTACTCGCTTGGCATTTGTTTGGCATTTGTTTGGCATTCGTTTGGCACTCGTTTGGCACTCGCTTGGAATTCCCTTGGAATTCGCTTGGCACTCGCTTGGAATACGCTTGGCATTCGTTTGGCACTCGTTTGGCATGGTTTGGCATTCCCTTGGAATTCCCTTGGCACTCGCTTGGCATTCTCTTGGCATTCATTTGATGTGATTCCTTTTGGCGCATTGGATTCTCCAGAATCTTGGTGATTTATTGTTTAAGATGGTGAAATTTTCGTGCCAGATCAGAGCCAAGCGATCTTTCCAAAAAAAAAAGCTGCTTGCGTAATGGGTGATCGCCAGATCTCATTAAGGATTTAATCAAAAAGTTTAGATCTCGTAAACACAAATGATCTAACGCACAAATAAGGATCTTTTCAGTGCGCCAGAAGGAGTGCATTTGTGTAAAAAAATTTAAAAAAAAATGATTTAAATAGTAGAAAAACGAAAATGAGATTCTCTGAAAGACTGGAATGAAAAGATTTGAGGTAAAAATTGAGCGAACTAGTAGAATTTGCGGGGGAATACAATGGACTCTAAGCTTTCGTAAAAACGGAAAAGAAAGGGGAAAGCAAACGAACAAACAATTCAAACTTTTCTCTTTTTCTTTTTCATAGAGACAGGTAAATATTCGTCAAAAGCTCACCATTTTGCCTTGTGAAATTGCAATTTTTTTTTTTGATTAGAAATGAGTCAGTTTTCTTTGATTATATGTACTTTGTGCACTCTAGTAAACGCATCCCTTCTAGTGCACTGGTAAAAAATGAGTTCACCGACGTGTACTTTGTGCTCCCTAGTAAACGCGTCCCTTCTGGTGCACTGGTATGAAATGAGTTCACCAAAGTGTACTTTGTGCTCTCTAGTAAACGCGTCCCTTCTAGTGCACTGGTACAAAATGAGCTCAAGAAAAGTGTACTTTGTGCTCTCTAGTAAACGCTTGACTTCTAGTGCATTGGCAAAATATGAGTTCACCAAAGTGTACTTTGTGCTCTCTAGTAAATGCGTCCCTTCTAGTGCACTGGTATGAAATGAGTTCACCAAAGTGTACTTTGTGCTCTCTAGTAAACGCGTCCCTTCTAGTGCACTGGTATGAAATTAGTTCACCAAAGTGTACTTTGTGCTCTCTAGTAAACGCATCCCTTCTAGTGTACTCGTACAAAATGAGTTCAAGAAAAGTGTACTTTGTGCTCTCTAGTAAACGCTTGTCCTCTAGTGCACTCGAGTTCAGCAACGTGTACTTTATGCTCTCTAGTAAACGCACCCCTTCTAGTGTACTCGTACGAGTTCACCAACGTGTACTTTGTGCTCAAACGCATCCTTTCTGGCGCACTAGATACAAGAAATCGTTTTCGAAACAGGAAAAATAAAGAAAATTTCTTAAAAATCGTGAAAAAGCGAACAGAAAACTGTCAAATGAGCGTAATCAAAGAAATTTCAATTTCAACTCGAATTACTATATACTTTTTCCCACAAAATACTTTTTCAAACACATTGTCCACTAATCGATTCCCCTAAAACGAGTCTCTTTCCTTTTTCTACCGTAATCTGTCTCTAGGAAAGAGTACAGTAATCCTCAAGACCGTTCCCTAAAACGAGTTCCCTTTCATTTTCTACCGTAATCTGGCTTTATTTTTTTTTTTCATTGAATTTCATTTGTATCTTTGTGAATTAAAGACAAAAAAAGGGATCGATTGAAATAAAAATTGAGACCGATTTTAATTGAAAAAGAAAGAAAGTGGACACGTTTTAGGAAATGGAGTTTTGAAGGACGGCTTTGAAGGGCATCCGAAATTCGATTTGTCTCGGGAATTTGAGAAAGTTCTGGTAAACGCACGATCTTTGGCACACCAAATTTGTGAAGAAACGGACGATCTTTGGTACACCAAATTTGTGAAGAACATTGTGAAGAAACACACGATCTTTGGCACACCAAATTTGTGAAGAACGGCTTCGAAGGCCATCCGAAATTCGATTTGTCTAGGGAATTTGAGAATTTTGAAACCGATAAGGTAAAGTAAGGATAAAAAGTTGTGTCGATCAAACGCGTTTTTGGCGGTGGGATGGCGCTGAATTGAAAGAGGGGATTAGGGGATTGCCTCTTTCATTCTATGCATAAATGGAATGTTTGAAATAAAACCGGGGGAAATGTCGATGTCGTTTATGGGAAATGATATGTATGATGGATGAATAAATCGGAGAAATTTGTTTTATTATTTGTAGAAGAGAGTTGTCGAGATTGAGCAGCCGTAATGGCCAGCTATAGTAAGCGATTTGAGTCTCCTAAAAGTTGTCTGCCTTTTACCGTAATCTACGGGATTTTCTCTAATAGTAGTGCGCCGGAAGCGTCGCCTAAATTGCTTGAAATCTCGAGAAGAGATTGAGAACCTGTCGATCTAGGAAAATGCACGTGTTGATAAGATCTTGTGAGGGATTTGAGTGTCGAGTTTCTGTGAAAACTTCTCTAAAAGTCTAAAAGTTTTCAGCGTCGAGCAAAAGAAAGTCAAGAGTTTTTCGCAGGTGGATCCGAAGCTGCGGTCGAAAATGCTGGAGTGAGATCAAGAACTCGCGCACTTCCCACTTCCCACAAGAAGAGGAAACTCTCCACACAAATCAATTTTGGTTCAGTCCACAAAAAACTTACATAAACTTTGAATCTATCTCTAAATCGCTTTTTGACTAGAGATCAAATCGTTTTCCGGGATTCAACAATTTAAAATCGTTCAATTTTTCTTAAACAAAAACTGTGCCGAATATTCGAAACGAAATTCAAATTTGAGATCTAAACATTTGCAATGATCGAATGATCGGATTGAAATGAAATCATCGATCTCTTTCTAAAGCGATCTCTCTCTAAAACGATCTCTTTCTAAAACGATCTCTTTCTAAAGTGATCTCTTTCTAAAGCGACTTCTCCCCAAAATGATCTCTTCCCAAAACGATCTCTTCCCAAAACAATCTCTCCCCAAAACGATCTCTTTCTAAAGCGACCTCCCCCCAAAACGATCTCTCCCCAAAACGATCTCTTTCTAAAGTGATCTCTTTCTAAAACGATCTCTTTCTAAAGCGACCTCTCCCCAAAAAGATCTCTCCCCAAAACGATCTCTCCCCAAAACGATCTCTTTCTAAAGCGACCTCTCCCCAAAACAATCTCTTCCCAAAACGATCTCTCCCCAAAACGATCTGTTCCTTCTTTTCCTAAATCGATCATTGCAATCTTAAATCTTCAATTAAAACGGAAAATCTATCAAAAAGAAACTAAAAAGAATTGAAAAATTTCTCTGAATTAATAGAAAATAAAAGCATTAAACTAAAGTGTTCAAGAAGCACTGAAAAAAGGAAATTTTTCTTTAATTTCACGTTTTCTGTAGTTGATTTAACCAAAAGAACTCGAGGGAATTCGAGAAATTTTTTTGGAAAATCTTTGGAAAATCTTTTGAGAATCTTTTGAAAATCTTTTGAGAATTCTTTTGAGAATTCTTTTGCATAAGAGACAATTGAATGCAATGAAAATTTGAAGAAATTACGTGAATTTTATGTTTTTTTTTTGATTTATTTGTGCCGGTTTACTTGGAAAGATACAAAAAAATGAAAAAAATGAATTAAAAAAAGCCGCCAAAAAGTACCAGGCTATTAAGTAGATCGAATTGTGAAATGAGAGCTTTCTAGACGAAGCTTTGTCACTTTATTTTGGTCACCATTCAGGCAAGAAAATGAATTACAAGAGTTAAATGACGTTTCCAATTGTCGGCAAGTAAAGCGCGTTCCCTGGCAAGAGTAAAAGGCTTTTCTAAAGAGGAAATAATTTCGAAAATTACCATAATCTCTCATTTTATTAAAAAAAAAATACTTTAAATCTCTTGAAATCATTCGAAATTTATCGAAATTGATAAATTGAATAGAATCGATTAAAGTTGAATAGAAAATAAAAGATTTAATTGCTAAAGTAGAAATAAGTTAAAGTAGAAGAGTTAAAGTTGAAGAGTTAAAATAGAAGAGTTAAAGTTGAAGAGTTAAAATAGAAGAGTTAAAGTTGAAGAGTTAAAATAGAAGAGTTAAAGTTGAAGAGTTAAAATAGAAGAGTTAAAGTTGAAGAGTTAAAGTTGTTAGTTGTTAACGATAACGACAATCTAATAATAACGATAATCTAATAATAATGATAATCTAATAATAATAAACAATAATAATAATAATAATAATAACCTAAATCTCGATTTTCTTTTGCGAAATCTTACATAACCTTTCATGTAACTAGTGTTTGTTATTACAAAGACTAGTTACATGAAAACATTGACAAGGAATGTATATTGGCATTCCCCGACAAATATTTTGCATCTTTTTCGTGAAAGAAATTTGATCGTCAACCCAAAGATGGAAAAGAAAAACAAATAAAAGAAAAAGTGGGGGGAAATAGATATCTTTTTGGAATGGATTTGTTCAAATTGGAAGCTGATTATAGGAGAATTTTCGATGATCTATACGAATTGGAGATTTGATTTGGATTGATTTGGAAAGGGTAAAGTACTCGTGCAATCGACAAACGTATAAGTGTCGTTTACAAGAAATTCCTCAAATTCTCTTTTACTAGACGAATAGATTTCAAAAGAAGCGAATTAACGGATGAAAATTGACAATGTTTAGCTGTAAATAGGTTTTCGAAAAGGAAATCCTAGTTTTCTTTTGTTTTCTTTTGATTCAATTTGTCTTTAAAACATTTAATAGGGTAAAATTCACGGTGAAACTCTGCATTCTACCCTTATTTTATTAAGAGTTTAAAATATCAAAGAAAAATTACAAAAAAGGAACAATAAACTTCAAAACTAGAGACTAGAGAAACTAGAAAAAAAAGGAAATAGAAAGTTTATTTTTTTAAAAAAAAGCTATTAAAAGATGAAAAAAGAAATTTTCGGTTGCTATGGGTTAAAAAAGAAAAAATTCTGAATTGAAATAGTAAATGACAATGAAATAGAAATAATAAATGAAATAGTAAATAAAATAGAAAACGAAATAGAAAATGAAATAGAAAACTAAATAGAAAATGAAATAGAAAACTAAATAGTAAATGAAATAGTAAACGAAATAGTAAATGAAATAGAAAATGAAATAGAAAATGGAACTTAAAACTCGAAAAATTTCTATTACAACAACAGATTTTCTATTACTAACAATAAATCACAATTCCATTCTAGTTCATTTAAAAAGAATGTTCTGTTGCTATGGGTTAAAAGAAGGAAAGTTTCTAATTTTCTAAACAAATCCTTTTTGTTGTAATTACTTTGATTAACCGAATGGAAAATAAAAAAACAAAACATTGTAATCCTTATTCTATCAAGTGCATTTTATGCTTTCAACTCTTTAAATGCAAAGATTTCATGGGAAATTGATTGCTTGATAAACATACATTAGAAAGAGAGTTAATAAGGGGGTCGGACAAATGCGACCTTTTTTTGCGCACCTGGACATTTGCGCACCTTTTTTTTTTGCTGGAAAAGGCCTTAGGAAAAGTCGTAGAGCTTCGAAAATGTTTTCATAGAAGGGAATCGTATGCGTAGATTCCGAATTTCGACAAATCAGACCTCGCTGACACGTCAAATTTGGGCTAAAAGGCAAAAGCTGCGGAAAAGCGTTAAGTGGCGTAGTTTTTGCCTTTTAGCCCAAATTTGACGTGTCAGCGAGGTCTGATTTGTCAAAATTCGGAATCTACGCATACGATTCCCTTCTATGAAAACGTTTTTGAAGCTCTACGACTTTTCCTAAGGCCTTTTCCAGCAAAAAAAAAAGGTGCGCAAATGTCCAGGTGCGCAAAAAAAGGCCGCATTTGTCCCACCCCCGTTAATAAAGTTTTAAATAAAGTCTTTAACAAAGCATCAAAATACTCAATACGGTAGGTAAAAAAAGAGACATGTTTTTAGGAAATGAATTGAAGTACTGAAGTGCTGAAGTGCTGGAGTGCTGAAGTGCTGAAGTGCTGAAGTGCTGAAGTGCTGAAGTGCTGAAGTGCTGAACTACTAAAGTACTAAAGTACAGAAGTACTAAAGTACAGAAGTACTAAAGTACTGAAGTACTCAAGTACTCAATAAATACTGAAGCTTAAGCTTAAGGATTTCAAACGTTTATTGTTTACTTTGTGTACTTGTGTGCTCTCTTTTGCAAACGCATCCTTTCTCGTATACTTTATCTTTATCACTTATCTTTTTTCGTTAAACTTTTCCAAAAAATGCTAGAAAAGAGCTATTGTTACTTTTGGCTTTAGTTTCAACAAGAAAAAAAAAAAGCAACAGCATCTCGTAAATCGATGTAAGATAACAAAATGTAAAGAAAAATGAAAACCCTTTAGCTTAAGCACTTTCACAAATCAAAGTTCTCATCTTGTTTTTGCGATAGTTGGACCAAATTTCACGAGACAAAAATTTAAACGAAAAAAGTGATGTCTCTAGGGAATTTTGCACGTATAAATGCTTTCAAAATTTCAATCTTTTTTTTTTTTTTCTTTTTTTACGAAGAGTTCACTCATATAATTGAGATCATAAATTGAGATTTAAAGTTGATCAGATAAATCATACTATAAACAAGTCATAAACTACGCACAGAATACAGCGTTGACCAGCTTCTGCAGATTAGCCTGTCAAATCCGACGCTCGTTTTCTCGGTGTTCTTACAGGTGAGTACCACAAACAAAGTATACTTTTCTATAGCCAAATTTGATGAGAATTCTTTTAAAATCAACCATTAGTCGATCCGAGGTTTCTACCTCGAGATATGAGTCGTTAAAGTTGACCAGCTTCTGCGGGATAGCCGGTCAACTCCGACGCTCGTTTTCTCGGTGTTCTTACAGGTGAGTACCACAAACAAAGTATGCTTTTCTATCGCCAAACTTGATGAGGATTCTAATGAAACTTATAGAAAGTCGATCCGAGGCCTAGAAGTCGAGATCTGAGTCGTTAAAGTTGACCAGCTTCTGCAGATTAGCCTGTCAAATCCGACGCTCGTTTTCTCGGTGTTCTTACAGGTGAGTACCACAAACAAAGTATACTTTTCTATCGCCAAACTTGATGAGGATTCTTTTAAAACCAACCATTAGTCGATCCGAGGTTTCTACCTCGAGATATGAGTCGTTAAAGTTGACCGGCTTCTGTATGTTGGCGGTCAGCTTCGACGCTCGTTTTCTCGGTGTTCTTACAGGTGAGTACCACAAACAAAGTATACTTTTCTATAGCCAAACTTGATGATTAAAAACTGTAGATTATAAAGAAAAGGAAAAAGAAAAAGAAAGAAACTCTAGATTTCTGGGGGGGGGGGAAATTTTAAAAATTACGCAAAAACGAAATATTTTAACGCGTCATAGTAGGCTTTCAAGAAGATTCTGAAAAGAAAAAAATGAAAATTTTAAGGCCAAAACGAGGCCATTCTTTTTTCCCAATATTTGAGCAACTGTTGAAGAATTATTGTGAAAAAAAAAATTCCGACAAAAAATAGACTGACCTACTTATTTTATTTGCTCATTTTTAAACTCAATAAGCATTGAGTGAGTCATTTTTTTTTCTTTTTCCTTTTTGAATAAATAGAGAATTGGGGAAAGAATTGAAAAGCGCTGAAAATTGTTCAATTTTGGCAAAAACTTCAAAGAAATTCGTGTACTTTGTGCTTGCTCTGATAAACGCACGATCTTTGGCGCACCAAATTCAGCTCGTACACTTTGTGTTTTCAAAGAAACGCATCCTTTCTGGCGCACTTATGGTTTTCTTTGAAAACATTCGGTATGAGGTACAAAGAGATCACTGTAGCCCGTTATCCAACATTCACGCGGTCTGCCGATTACTATGGGTCCTATTAGTAGCACAAAAATAACTTTGTGGTCCATACTTTGCTGAATTTACATGTCCAAGTAAGATAATAAGTTTTTTAAACTTAGCCAAATTTCAGCTTGACTCAAAAACTGAAGTTATATAGCAAGATCATAAGTAAAATTGAAAATCCTGCTTTGTCCCAAATTTGTGCATTTTGTAATAACAGAAAAAAGATTCATTACCAAAAAGGTAAATAAAAGTAGCAATAACGAATTAGCAACACATACATAAAAGAACTGTTTGAAAAACCAACAACAGATAAAGTAAACAAAGACAAATTTAAAGAAACAAAGAAATCGTAATAATCTAAACTTTTCGGCGCAATACCCATTTGAAATTTTCGCGCGCCGCGCTCAGTCCAGCACCACGACATCGTCATCGTCATCTCGTGACAGCTCAAATTGAAAAACTTTTAGTCATTTTAGATTTCTTATCGATTATTCAAGTTAAACCCCTTAAAAATCCTTATTCAAGTAACTTGTGGATATCAAGTTTGAAAAAATTCCACTAACCTCATCATCAATGTTCATCTTCTTGGCTATGTTCTCCTCTTCAGTCTCAATGGTGAACAGGTACTGAAAGACAAATATTAGCTTGGATACTGGAAATATAGTAGTAAAATAGTATCTATTTGAAAAATTAGTTTAATACTAGGATTTTTTCAAAATTTTAATAGTCATTTGTTTAAAAGACAGTGCGAAAGCCCAACTTTGCAAAGAAACCTATTCAAAACTGATTAGTTGCAAGTTTCATGTACTAGGACTTAAAATCTATCTAGCTATTCTTCGCCATAAATCTAAACTTTCGAATCACTCACCTTCTGGATGGTCTCCTCATTCTCCTTGATGAACGCTTTCACTTGGTCGACATTTTTCGTCTGCAAGATATGCGCCACCGTGCTCAAGCCCTCGAGACCATAGCGAGCGATCACTAAAGTTGGAAATTAACAAGGATAAAAGTTGCTATAAATTCTAAATATTACGGCATTAAGTCATTCTAAACGCTGAGTTCCAAAAACTTACAATGGAATGCCATTTTCTTCTCATTTTCAGTCCATTTGTAATCGAAGCGTTGCCTAAAGAAAAATGTAAAGAAAAATGATAGGATGATCAAAATTTCATTGAACAGTTGACAACTATATCATCTTGTTTGAATTTTACAATTCTTTGCTGAGATCATGCTTAAAATGACCAAAACTTGGCAAACTTATTGATATTTCAAATTTTTCACTAACCAATCCAATCCAATAATTTACCTTCGACCCTTGTTCTCCTCTTCTTCCTGTTTTTCCTTTTGCACAAAGTGTCGATAGGTTTCCCAACCACCGGCCAAATTCTTCTGGAGAGCTCTTATGCGTTCGTTGGTGGCAAACACTTTCTGGCGCATGCCATCGATTCGCGCACGAACTTGTCTAAAAGAAAAAAGTAAGGCAAGTGCTAAAAGTTGGTAATTTCTATTTTCACTACTTTTTTAAATCACTTACTGATCACGTTCTTCAATGAGAGACTCGATCGAGCGTACCACTGAGCCGGCGGATGAAGAAGCCGTTCCAAATTCCTAAGTTTTACGGTACTTCTTTAAAACCAAAATTTGTGCACCAAATTAGTGTCCTTTGCATCTTGAGTCGCTTGTTTGTACAATTCCTCGAATTCCAACACCACATCAGTCATGTCTGAAAAATGGGCAACTATAGATTTTGTAAAACAGTGTCTGATATTATAAAATTCGTAAAAGCTATAAAAACTTACCAGATGGACAACGAGCTTCTTGTCGATATTGTGGAGCAACCTTTGAAGCGCCGTCAATGGGTCGATACTTGTGCATGACACTAAAAAGCAATAATATAAAAGATGCCAAATTATTTACCCAGCCTACCTATAAATTAACAGAACATAATAAAATAAACGGATTTTAAGGTCTTATCAGCTCAAAAGCATGGAACGCACCCATTTAAAGTAGTTATCTCGTAACTAATCTAATGAATCAAATTTACGCAATCCTCATCATTGAGCTGGGTTTAAACCGAACGATAAATCAGTCACTTTAAAAGTTTCATAAACATCATTGAGACTTAACCCACGGAGATCTACTAGGATAAAGGTCAATTATCGCTAAATTGTTGAAATTATTGTTAGAAGAAACCACAGCAAAACTCACGTATAGTAAACAAAGCATGGCGAGCACAAGCGTCCCCCGCTCGTGTACAGCACTTTTGTCGGCTTCTCTTCGCAATGTTCACAGCATCCAAACTCGGCATCATCAAATTCTTCCCTGAAATTTAAAAAGTTTTGCGTTGAGAAAATTTGCATAGTTCCAAATTTCCATTCAGCCCCAAATTAACAAATTTGCATAACAGCAAACGCGATTAACGTTTTATTCGTTTCCAAATCATTTTGGATACATCGTCTCCCGCCGATCACCCGGGTTTTCTGGAGTCATTTCTTTAAAATTAAATTTGCTACATATTCTCAAGCAAAACTCAGTTATTTGTTTGTAACTTTTTCGTTTACTGTTTGACTTTTTCTAGAGCGATGAACCAAAACATTCACAATGATCCGCAGGGGGGTAATGGCGCAAAATTCGACTAGCAACACGGAGGTGGGGAATTTTGAAGTGTTAAGCTTGTTTTGTTTAATAAAAAGCATGAGCTCATCCATACCTATGAACTTTTCGAAGCGGTTTGGCATGGACTTTTCAACTTGTGCTAGTTGCCGTTGTTTGGGTGTATTTTAGGAAAGACTAGATTAATTAATTCAACTGATCAATTTTAGGCTCAAAACGTCATGATGCGGGTACCGAGCGATCAAAGTGAGCGCTCGCTCAGCTCTTCATCTTCCACCGCGCCGTGACAATGGACCACCGGGTATGAACACCGATAATGCAAGGGCATTAGTTTTTCGAGAGATAACGTATTTTTAAAGATTTAAAGTTGCTCTAGCATAGGTTTTAACAATTTTACGCGAGAATTACTTAGAGAAGCATGTTAACACCAAATTTCCTCAAGTCCGCAACTCGTGTTCAAATTTTGAACCTGTTTTATTAACTAGCACAGGAGCAAACCTTTAGAAGTGAATCGTGTTTAGTTGCTTTTGGACCGATTTCTTTGGTTTTTAAGGAAAACATTAATCAAGTTTTCCCCCTTTAGACTCCACCTATCAAAAGGCGAGCATCTGCACGACAAGGCGGGCCCGAATCAGACAAAGAAAAAAGTCGGCGACTTCGTGACGATGCTCACCAATTTGGACGTCTACAACGTTTTCTTCAGCTACACTACCATCATTCAACGAGATCCGAAAAAGTGAGCATCTTTTCGGCCTTTATAAGCTTTGCCCTTGTTTAGATTGATGTCCAATTTTCTAAAGCACGCTGAGGCGAACCGATACACCGACATCCCGTGCTTTGAGGCAACTCGAGCCAAGGTCCGATTTTATAATTAAATTTGTTCCACGTTAGATAAAATCTAGAACTTAGCTTTGGTTTATTTATACAATGAACCTGCTATACTTGAGCTTAAAATGACCGTTTTATTATTATGCACTAGCTTACTTGTTACCTACAGACAACGAATCATAGATTTGATTTGAGTAATTTTAATCTTTCTCTCTTCTTTCTTTAGATCTTCCTTTAATCTTTAGGTGCAACACTCGACCGCCGGCCACGACTACTAGCACGCGAATTTCGTCGGCGGTTACCGCGGTGACAAGTGTATTCTTGCTCAAACACCCATGCAAAGCAACGTCGAGTGGTGACGACCACCAGTGATGGCGCATGATTTGGGAGCAGAAGATCGTACTCATCGTCACCCTTGTGCCCCGTCACCGATGGAAAGGTTAGTGCTTACTTTTATAACTATGCTATTTAGCAGCCTTTTTAATTTCTTTTTTCGGGAATGTCCCGGCGAACTCGGACGAGAAGGCGCATTTCGGCACGCTGACCGTGGAGAACAACGCGACGAAAAGCGTCCGCCAAAACTACGACGCAACGCAGATTTTCGTCTCTAATGGCACCCAAATGCGCCACCTCATGCACATCACCTGCTTACAATTGGAGCCTACCGCGAACGGGGTAAGTGACGAGTTTTGTGATTTACTTAACGAATTTTGCTACTTTAGAACGCCCACTTATCCATCCCACCGAGGTGCTGAGCATGCTAAACGATATAAATCACGGCTACGAGACACTGCTCGATGAGGCCGAGGGAGATGGATGGTTGACAGAAAGGATGATCGGTGGGTGTTGCTAAGGCTTTGTGTTGAATAGACACAAAGCCTGTATTGAAAAGGCAATATGCTTTTGGCATTACCTAGCATTGTTACGTAAATCTAGAACTAATTGCTGCTGTGGTAGCTTGAACTGGTGAATTATTAAGCAAATCTAGGACAGTCTTTGAGCCGGTTCACCCGTTGAAATCCCCAACTATAATTTCTCATTTAGAAGCCCGTGGCTGGTGTGCTGTCACTCGGGCGTGAATCGCTCGGTCACCCTTGTCGCATTGGACATTTTGTGCAGCCGCCTCGAGGACACGATCGACGAACCGGACGGGCCGTTCATCGACATCGAGAACACCGGGCTCAAGCTGCGCCCCCAGCGAGCCATGGCCATTCAGGTGTCTTGTGACAATTTGTCTTACGCTATTTTGTCATTTTAGCGTCCCGAAAAATACTTGTTCCTTCACCTTTCCGCCTATGAGTTCATAATTCGTAAGCACTGGCTCCGAAGCGAGTAAGTCTTTTTTATGATTGTAAGTTTACAATAGAGTTTGTTTTAGTGAAATCTCGGAGGCCAGCATTGCCAATTTCAAGATGGATCCGGATCGGTGACTCGGCTACCGATTTGAAGAAGAAATAAGCGGAATCGTACTTTTGGAGAATCAGAAATTTGCAGCTTTGCATATCTTGTGGTAAAATGGAATGTTCTTTTGGTTGGACTTCCCTTGTTACACTTGTTTGTCGTACTTTTCGGGTTTTTTTAAACTCACAATCGATCATCATCGTTCTCGTTCTTCATTGGATTGAGCTTTGAGCTGGATGACTTCTTGATATTGTAGTAATGATTGACGATTGAGTTGATCGTACGATGTGGAAGCTGAAAAGAGCAAAATTTGCATGGTTTACAGTCCGCAAAACTTACAGCTTTCTGAATGATCTTGAAGTTTTTCCCATAGTAGTTGAAAGCATTTTGAAAGACGACAGAATCATCATGTGACCATTCATCACGCTGAAAAATAAAGATGAAAGACTGGACCTTAGTTGAATTTTAACATAAAATAATTGAATTAGTTTATGTTAAAGTAAAGTAAAGTTACATTTTTGAACAACTAGATAAAAAGTTCAAAAAGGTGAATTTCTTTGAAATGCTGTCCGAGAAACCCACAATGAGTTTTCGCTTTGCAAGCCTCTCCCGAGCTAGCTCCAAGTTATGATCACTTTTGAGCAAGATGAAAAGAGCCTGAAAAAAACCATTGTACGCGAAAGCGCGAAAAAATAGGTAGTTACTCGATCAAGTGGCATCATATGCAGGGTCATCGCTTCCTCAATGTATTTGTCGAGATCGCTAGCGGTGAGCTCCCCGTTTGCAAGTGGTGGAATCCAGAGAGCCTAAAGGAGCAGAAATTGGACGGTTTTATGAAAATTGAATTGATAAGTACTAATGCCACAAGGACTAGCCAATTAGATACTGAGCTTAAATTCATATATAAGCTCAAAGCGTACTGTGATCGGCGTGCTAAAACTGATAGCGCAATGACTCAAATGCTATTTAATGTTAGCAGGAAACGCTTGTTGTAAATCCCTTACTTGATCCCGATCTTCACGATCCTCGACAAGAGAATTGGATTTGTTTCCATACGCAGTGAGGACGGCCTAAACGCACTTTAAAATAGTTTGTAAGCGGATCCCTCAACCTGGTGTTGCTGTCCGACTTTGATCTTCGATTGGGTACTCTTGTCGAGGACTGGAAGTTCACAAAATTCAGACAATCACATACAAAATCATTAGATTTATAGATTGGCTTCTCTTAACTATAGCTAATGTTTGAATAGGTTTAAACGCACGATGAATCGTTGCCCGCTGTTTGTTCGGCTTTCCAGGGCTCTCCTCGTCGACTTCGTCTAAATATTGACATAAATAAACAAAACTTTAGATTGCTAGATCTATGCAATAATTTAGTTGCTGTAAATTTCTAGGCTCACCCTCCAAATCCTGCTGATTGTTGCTCTTTTCCTCGTCATCCTTCTCATTCGAGTCGTCTTTCTGGCGACGCCTAAAGTTTTCGACGTTAAACAAGTGTTAATTTCCTTCAAAATTTAAATGTAGCACTTCTTCTAATCTATAGCTTGAATTTATTTTAAATCCTCACTTCAGGCGTTCTTCTCGGGTTTCTCCTTGCTGCTGTAAAGCGGGCTTGCCAACGTCCATGCTGCCGCCAGCTAAAAATGCAAAACAGTTGAAACTCAAGAAATTTTTAAAGCTCAACAAACTTTTACTTGAAGCTAAACTATGTTAAAATTCAGCTAAAAGCTAAAAGCTAAAACCCCGTGAAAAATCAAGGAAACTTTTTAGTTACGAAATTTGCCTTTCCACATTTTGAAAGCATCTAAAAAAGCTAATAGAACGCAACATTATTGGCACATTCTTACCCTATTCTGGTTAATTTTGGAATTTGAAGATCTTGACACGAGTAAAACATTTAGCAACTTTATCTAGTGCGCTGCAAACATTCTAAAGACTTCACAAAGCACTAGGATAAAGTTGCTGAAAGTGTTTTGCAAAGAAGAATGACTATTTCAGCATTGTGAATTTCTTTCGAAGCTGTTATTTATGCTAGAAATAACAATTCCAAAAAGATCTTGTTATTATCTGAGTCAGAGATAATAACAAGATAGCTGGATCTGAGTTCTACTTGAGTTACTACCTAGTTGAGTACGAATACGAATCGTATTCATGAACATCCCAAACGCGATTTGGCATTCTAGTAGTACACTAGCTACTTTAGATCCAACTTTTAAACAACCTAACCCAAAAAGTTAAAATTCATTGACTGTAAAAGCTATTTAGACTTTCCAAATCATTTGGGACGTTCAAAAGAATACTGGTTAGGCCAAAATGGCCTCTCTTAACTCCCGCATCAACAAACCTGTGGCTTTTGCTACTTCCTTTGTCACTGGCAAATCTTTGCTCGACTTTTCGTTGATGTTTGATTGCTCCGTAGAGGTGTCCGTCTCGTAGCTGTTTTTCGCTCCGCCCATTCTTGCGCTTCGTCTCGTGATACGCGTTGCAGTTACAGATCGATCCTCGTGATCCTAAAGAATAAAAATTATTCAAGTAAAAGAAAACGGGCGAATAATAGCTTCAAAAGTTGGGAGTGGGACAAATGCGACCTTTTTTTGCGCACCCGGGCAATTTGCGCATCTTTTTCCGCACTTAGCCCATTAGCGCACCTTTTTCGCGTTTTAAAAAAAGCTCTAACAGCTAATATTAACCAATTTCTATTCCAAAAGTTGTTTTTCTAGGTAATTTGAGGGTGTCGAATTCAAATTTTGAGCGACATAACAGAGTGTGTGGAAGCGAACGGACGGAGTTATACAACGAAAAAAAATGAAAAATGTAATTTGATCTAGCCGTTTTGTCTTTCAAATTGGTTCCACACGCTCTGTTATGTCAAAATTTGAATTCGACACCCTCAAATTACCTAGAAAAACAACATTTGGAATAGAAATTGGTAATTGGTTAATATTAGCTTTTAGAGCCTTTTTAAGACGCGAAAAAAGGTGCTCTAATGGGCTAAGTGCGGAAAAAAAGGTGCGCAAATGTCGTCGGGGTGTGCAAAAAAAGGTCGCATTTGTCCCACTCCCCAAAAGCTAGAAAAATGAAATGATGAAAGTGGCGAAATGTTGGCGAGAAAAGTTTATATATGCGCTTTTACTTGAAAGATATTCAGCTAATCGGCAGAATGCCGTACTTTTGGCATTTAGTGCATGTTAGAATGTAGAAAGTGCCAATTTGTGACTTTTCTTGGATTTCTAATGTTTTCAAACATTTTTTGATAAAATTTGCCTAAATCGGTGTAAAATCTCAATCCCAACTAACTTTTGATATATCTATTCTTTTGAAAACATAAAAACCCTAGGTTTTGCCTCGTTTATGAACATTTACCGCCGTCCTAAAAGCGTTTTGTAAAGTGTTTTCTAAAAAGTTGAGCAAATTAAGAACTTAAATTATGCTACCTATTTTGCAGAAAAGATAAATTGTTTACCAATTTCATCCGCTTCGAGGTGGAGGGGCCGATCTTGGCAAGCTCCTCGTCGAGGATCGACTCATTGACGGGCACTCAAATTAAGTAAAAATAAAATTGTCTTGAAATCATAGTCAGTGTTGTTCCTGCAGCCTTGTTTATAGGTCCCTGAGGCCTAGGATGTTTCCGTGTTTTAGAGGCTGTAAGCCAAGCCGAAAGTCAAGTCCAACCGGATCCTAGGATCTGTAAACCAACTGCAGTCGGGCCTTACTATTAAGATCTATAAGTCAAGCGCAGTCGGGCTTATTGTTAGAAACAGCAACCCTGTTTCTAGACTGGTTGGCCTTCCCCACGCACTTTCTAACATTACTGTTAGACTAGTGCACACTGTTTGCTTAAAATCTGACCTCAAGCCAAACTAGGTTTAGGGGAGGACTTTTTTTCTTTAAAACCACTTTTTCTGGAGTATTTTGTGCGTAGATTCCGAAAAACACAACGAGAACTTGGGAAAAGACGTTTTAAGCCAAGTTCCGGGGCTTCAAATTGCGCGCTCATACGGCGTGATGAGAGGGATACGCATAGGGAAGAGGTCTAAAAATGGTCTCTTAAAACATTTTTTTAAAGCCAAAAACACTTCTTCTGGCATAATTTAACCTACTGATTACGTTTCTGATCAAATTGGAGCAAAATTTAAAACAATTTTCCAATTTTCAACCATGGACATGAGTCAAAATCGTTCAAAATCTTTTTGAATTCTTTCTTTTGCCTCTACCAGTGAATTTAAGTTAGAAAATGAATATTTAGTGGTTAAAAAATGGTTTTGGCTTTAGTTTCGGCTTTAGTTTTGACCTTGAAAAAGTGCTCCAATAGTCGATAGCTTGGGCTTCATATAGTGAAGTACACTATAGAAGTTGGAGTTGGTGCACTTTGGACCCCCAAAACTCGGCTTAAAACGCCTTTTCCCAAGTTTTCGTTGTGTTTTTCAGAATCTACACATAAAAATACCCCAGAAAAGGTGATTTTGAAGGAAAAAAAGTGCTGCCCCCATTTAGACTAGTGCCCCAACCTAAGTGTCGGAAGTTTAAAAAAATTTAGCTTGGCTGGAATCGCACTTGATTCCGAATTTCAGTGATGAATCCCTTTGTTGGTTTTAGGTTTCATGCTTCAAATTTCCTTTCGCCTGCCATAATTTTATCGTATTTTAAACAAAAATGATTTAAACAGGCTAACAACTTAATAGAAAAAGCTCAGAAGCTCAGTCTTAAGGCTCAGAAGTAAACGTGTAATGAAAGGAAAAAGAAAAACTCGAAAAACAAACTTTGTTCATCGCTGCCGCTCAAGAGGTCCGTTTCGCTCATTTTCGCTTGTTGTTGAGATTTCCCTAAATAATTAAAAATAAATGCTAAGGAAAAGAGAAATTTCAAAGGGAAATGTGGAATGAAAAATTTGAAATTGGACGAAAAAAAAAGTTTGCTTTCTCGCAAGGAAATTTTTGACTCAAAAAAAACTTGACCCTTTAACCGGTGTAACGCGATGAAGAGACCCCGATTGGCGGCGTCATTTGGTGGACGGCGTTGTCGCTGTGTGTGACACGGTCATCCACAATTATGATACCAGGGAAGGCACTCTAATTGTCAACCACCGTGTAGTATGAGAATTTCTCTAGTAAGGGAATTGTTGTAAGTTAAAATTCGATCTAGATTCAAGAGGCATATAGATATATATGTCGTAGCCGTTTACGAAATTCAGCCGCTAACGAATGAGGGTATTTCCGGGCATCCAATCAAAAAGTCACCCACATAAAAAATGTTCATAATACATATATTTTATAATAAATTTTGAAATTAGCTCATTTGGTTCAGTAGAAAATTTTTTTGAGCCCCCAAAGTTTAGGTTCAAAATGCCCTAAAATGGCTATAAAAATTTTCTACTCAGCCAAAAAACTTGCCTAATAGCTTATTTTGTAGCCAATTTGATGTATTTTCTTAAAGTAAAGCTACATTGAACATTTGTTTTTCAAAGCTAGGAGAAAGAGGGCGAGGAACGACTTCAGTTGAACTCGGTCGCTGTTTTCACATTTGAGAATTGCTCTGAATTTGTTCCTCGCCCTCTTTCTCCTACTTTCAACGAAAAATTGTTTTAGATGGCTTTACTTTAAGAAAATACATCAAATTGGCTACAAAATAAGCTATTAGGCAAGTTTTTTGGCTGAGTAGAAAATTTTTTATAGCCATTTCAGGGCATTTTTGAACCTAAACTTTGGGGGTTCAAAAAAATTTTTCTACTGAACCAAATGAGCTAATTTCCAAAAATTTATTATAAAATATATGTATTATGAACATTTTTTATGTGGGTGACTTTTTGATTGGATGCCCGGAAATACCCTCATTCGTTAGCGGCTGAATTTCGTAAACGGCTACGACATATATATAGATGTCGCAGCCGCTAGTGATTTTCAACCGCTAGTGATTCAATCACCATCGGTCAAATGTTTCGTTAAAAAGCTTTGAATCACCTATTCGTTCCTAGGTATAAACGGATGTGGACTAGAATTTGGGTTAAGTTAAAGAGAGTGGATCCCTTTTGATATCACGCCATCTCTAACACCCCGACAACCCAACTCAACTCCTCCAACGTATTAGAGAGGAGTCCCTGTGAAATGACCGACCTGTACTGCAGTTGCATAGACCCGGAAGATATGTATCTTTGTTTACAGTAGTATAATAAGACGAATAGATTACAAATAAGTGTAAGGGGAAGGGGGGGACTCCAAATCAGAGTCTCACTTGTCCTCCTAGGCTCCTCACTGTCCTTCTAGGCTCCTCACTGTCCTTCTAGGCTCCTCACTGTCCTTCTAGGCTCCTCACTGTCCTCCTAGGCTCCTCGCTGTCCTTCTAGGCTCCTCGCTGTCCTTCTAGGCTCCTCACTGTCCTCCTAGGCTCCTCACTGTCCTCTTAGGCAATCCCAATGACCGCCCCTTCTCGGCAATAAAAAGGATAAGCACAGGGGAGGACACATTTGCATAAGAATAGACAAATCATTCAATAATAACAATAGTAACTAAAATATCAGTTTGGCTCGGAGCTGACACACCATCGACTAGCCGATGGTGATTCAATCACTAGCGGCTGAAAATCACGAGCGGCTGCGACATATAGATTTAATTCGTTATTGAATCAAGACAAATAAACTATCGTAAGCAAGGGTTTTCCCCATTTCGCCGAAAATTTTCTTTTGACTATCAACGTTTGATTTGACTGTCCAATACACTCTCAATGTCAATGTTGGTCTTTCAATACGATCAACACTGATGCACAATTGCAAATTGAGTTGAAAAGTTTATCAATGTTTTAATAAAAATCTTAATAGCCATCATAAAAAGTATAAATCGATCAAAAAAAAGAAACTTTAACAAAAATGACTGTATTTTCTCTAATAGTAGTGCAGAGCACCGAGCCGAGTTGATGCCTATTTTACGGTTTCAAAGTTTTCCCAAAAGCTCAACACTCAAATCCCCCACTAGATCTCATCGTCATCTACATTTTTCGACCCCACATCGATAGGTTCGGATAAGCGCTTCTCAAGATTTCGAGGAATTTAGACGACGATCGGAATGCACTACTATTAGAAATACGGCAACCTAATTAACAAATGCAAACTTTTAAAAGTTTTTGCAGTCTTAATCAAATATTCTAGACTATGAACAAATTCATCCCAACTTTCGCACAAACTTTTGCATCGATTTTCTTTCTAATCGTGTCTTCTTAATGCCATTTTGCTTGTCTTCAACGATCTTGTTGTCAATCTTTTGTTGAAATCCTCCAAGTCTTTTAATGAATGTCCATAGATTTGGGTGATCCCTGAAATGCTTTCTGAGATCATTATTCTGAGCTTCCTGGAGATCATTGTTCTGAGCTTTCTGAGATCATTGTTCTGAGCTTTCTGAGATCATTGTTCTGAGCTTTCTGAGATCATTGTTCTGAGCTTTCTGAGATCATTGTGCCTTGCAAGCATTGATTCGTTTGTTGTTCACCCAAACATATTTGTAACTTATTAATCGCTCACCCAAATCTTCAACGTTGTCCCTCTTCAACGTGTGCATCGCCTAAATATGGGGATTTCCGTTAACTGTTGATAATGAATGCGCTTTTTTGACGTTACCTTCATTCGAATTCGTATCATCCTCTTCTTCGTCTTCATCCGATTCATTCTCACTCGAACTTGTCGATCCTGTAGACTCATTGCCATCAATCCTTTCTAGAAACGATTCATTCGTTTGTTGTTCACCCAAACATAATTGTAACTTCTTAATCGCTCACCCAAATCCAACTTTATTAATTAAAAATTCAAGAAATTCAAGCTCAAACCTTGCTCTGGGTTCTGCAACGGAATTCGCAATATTGGCAATATCAGCAATATTGGCAATATCAGCAATATTGGCATTGAGTGTATTGAACAGTCAAATCAAAAGAGAATCCGTAAGCAATGAGTTTTCATTCGATTAGCGCAATTCAACAAGGCTCATAATGTTAAGTGAAAATTGGGTTATTTGAGTGAAATGGATAGATTCCTAGAATGGATAGATTCCTAGAAAATCGATGGGTAGATTCCTTGATTGTCTAGAAAATAGCTGAAACTTTTACAGCGCAAGAGAGAGAGAGAGAAAGAAAAAGAATGAAGCTCTTCAATGTAATTGGCTAACAATTTTCTCACAAACACATTCAAATGTTTATTTTCTTTTAGAATTTTGTTTATTAGCAGCAGCAGCAGCGTCGATGTTGGAAGAGTCTAAAATTTTCCCAAATTTATTCGATATTCAATACGATTTTCTTATCTCATATCAACTAATAAACAAATAGATAAACGAATAAAAAAAAGACCTTAAGTTTATGATCATTTTCAAAATGGATGCATTTTAGAAAAACAGTTTCTTTTTGATTAATGATTTCTTTCTTCTTACCGTAAATACTGTAATAGTACCCCATCCCTCCCCGTACAGTCGCGTAGTCGCAAAGCTTTTAGTATTTCATTTTTTTGCAAAGCACCCGTACTTTCAAAAAATGTGTCTTTGGTATCAAAAAATAGCCCTGAATTTCAGCTATTTTTGATACCTAAGCGCGCATTGTAGCATAAACCAGTGTCGAGAAAAACTCGTTCAAAGCTATACTACGCAACACTCCGCACCGTCATTATGGGGGTGGGGTACTATTACAGTATTTACGGTAGTTTTCTTTTAGTTTTCTTTTTTAAACTTTTCTTTTTAAACTTTTCTTCTTAAAGATCTCGATTTCTTCAAAAGATAAGTTTTAGTGGTAAACTACTATTGTATTTTCTGTAATAGTAGTGCTGGAGGGGGGTTGAAGAATAGTAGTGTGTAGTAGTGTAGGCTGGAGGGGGGTTGAAGAATAGTAGTGTGTAGTAGTGTAGGCTGGAGGGGGGTTGAAGAATAGTAGTGTGTAGTAGTGTAGGCTGAGAGGGGTGAAGAATAGTAGTGTGTAGTAGTGTAGGGTGGAGGGGGTTGGAAGAAAGCAGGTGTAGTGGCCGGGCTGGAGGGGGTTAAAGAAATAGGTGTGTGCAGGTAGGTGGAGGGGGTGGAAAAAGGTGTAGTAGGGTGGAAGAATGTAGTAAAGTGATAGATAGTGTAGGCTGAAGGAAGGGTTGAAGAATAGTATTGTGTAGTAGTGAAGGCTGGAGGAGGGTTGAAGAATAGTAGTGTGTAGTAGTGAAGGCTGGAGGAGGGTTGAAGAATAGTAGTGCGTAGTAGTGTAGGCTGGAGGGGGTTAAAGAATAGTAGTGTGTAGTAGTGTAGGCTGGAGGGGGGTTAAAGAATAGTAGTGTGTAGTGTAGGCTGGAGGAGGGTTGTGAAAAATAGTAGTGCGCACTACTATTAGCAGTAGTAGAAATACGGTATAATCCCAGGCTTTCAATCTGCTGTTTTATAAATTTCCTATCTGCATATGTCTCCCCAATCAGCTCCTGATTCGAAACATAACCCTATAGTTAGTTTAAGAGTCTAAAAGATGCCTTTAATCTAACTATATAAGCTAAAAAGTTCCCGTAATTCGTTCCTAAATTTATCTATTTATCTATCCGAATTCACCACAAACTCCGGTAATCTTTATCCTTACATTCTTTTCAAGCGCTTACTCTCGTGCGGTTCATTAGTCGCAATCCAGGAAGGGTTTCGGCCTTAAAAAGAGCTTCACCGTACTCCTTTTTCTCTGATGCAACATTAATCCTCAAGGTCACTAATCCTTTTTAAAAATCCAAATCTTTTTCTGACCAATGCTTTCATTTGAGTGATTCCCATCATTGCTGAGTGGCACGATCGCATTTCCAAACTCATCAAAAGCATCAAAAGCAAAAGTTCCCTCATCGAAAGTGTCTAGAGGTTGTCTAAAAGAAATCTTCAAATATATTCTATGATGTGTTGATCTCTATTTTTCTATTTGTTTAGAAATGATAAAGCTGATTGCTAAAGCTGATTGCTAAAGATGGTTGCTAAAGCTGATTGCTAAAGCTAATGCTAAGGCTAATGCTAAAGCTGATTGCTAAAGCTGATTGCTAAAGCTAATGCTAAGGCTAATGCTAAAGCTGATTGCTAAAGCTGATTGCTAAAGCTTCTAAATTGATTCATCTATGATTTTCTTCAAATAGCAAACGTTTCTTATTTATTTTTCGAACTTTTAAAGTCAATTTTGGGTTAATTTCTAAGTAAACTCGGATGTAAAAACTTGTTTTTGTTATAAAATTCTTTAAAAAGCTTTATAAAGAAATTAGAAAAACAGAAAATTTTGCTAATATAGCGTTTCTTTTAAATAAGCAACAGAAGAAAAGCAAATAAAGCAAAATAAGCTAATAAAAGAAATTGTAGATCAATTAATGATTGATTTCTAAAAAGCCTTCTCAAAAGATCAAGATTTATGCATTAATCGACTATTTTCTATAGTTAAATTGTATTCTAAAATCTAGAATTAATCTAGAATTAATCTAGAATTAATCTAGAATTAATCTAGAATTAATCTAGAATTAATCTAAAACTAATCTAAAACTAATCTAAAACTAATCTAAAACTAATCTAAAACTGACTGTTCAGTCGGTTCCACGATACGCGTCCCGTTCGAGAGCACGTGCACCGTGTTGATGCTCATCACGATGAGCATGAAAGCTGAAAATCGAAGGATAAGCATAATTGCATAATAAGCAATGATTGTAGATGGCTTTTTTAAAATAAAAATTGAGTAGAAAAAGAAACCGAACGCCACAAATCCCAGGGGTTTCGACTGATCAGCTGGATAGCGTACAGCCAACACCGCAGCCGGCATCCATATCTAGAATCCATATCTAGAATCCATATCTAGCAAATTCTCCGGCCTTAACCCCAAAATCTGAACTCACCATTTTGGCTAAATGTTTAGTAAGTTTAATTTTCGAAATGCAGATCTCTCGATTTCTCTAGATTGCTGAGTGCTTAGCAACCCGATTTCGGGGAACTGGGAAACTGTTTGTCCGTTTAACTCCATTGTGTGCAAGAGGAGAGCAACGCCTGACGTTCCGTATAAAAGCAATGTGAACGAGCTGCCGACGTGTGCCGTGGAGTGTCTCTACTCTCAAAATGGAGTGTGAAGTGTCTCTACTCTCCCAATCTCAAACCACTGAACCAACTATGATCGCTGTAATAAAGATTATATCTAAACCAACAATAATCGCTTGAGATTTGAGAAATTTGAGAGATTTGAGATGCGTTTACGAGAAGGAAAAGCATTTGATTGTCAGAATTGAACTGATCAAGCTAGAATTTGATTGTTAACGTAAATATATAGAGAAAAGTTGAGTACCCTAAAGTCTCAGTATACTATACTCTCGAGTATCTGCCTTAATTTACATTTAAAAGGCTCTGATGGAAAATTTTCTTCTTTCTTTCATTTTTATTGTTTTTTTTTTTATTTTACTAACGCTTTTTTCATTTTAGATACAATGAGGAGAAAGTCGTACACCGCCAAACGAAGCTCGAAGCGGTCAAATTTGCCAGGAAATTTGGAACGAACGCGGCTGCGATCGAATTTGAAGTCACCGAACAGATGATTAACCGCTGGAAACAAGCTGAGCCGGCACTGATGAGTTCACCAAAAAATCGTACACCGCCACCGCCAAACACCACCAAAAATCGTACACCGAGAAAGTCGTACACCGCCGAAACGAAGCTCGAAGCGGTCAAATTTGCGAGGAATTTGGAACGAACGCGGCTGCGATCGAATTTGAAGTCGCCGAACAGATGATTAACCGCTGGAAACAAGCTGAGCCGGCACTGATGAGTTCACCAAAAATAATCGAACTTTCCGAGGATTGAGAGCACAATGGCCGAAAATGTGGAGAAAGATCTGAAGGCATGGTTTCTGGAGAGGCGATCAAAACAACGAGCTGTAAATGAGCTGCTAAAAGCAAAAAAAGTTATGCTGCAGCGGGGTTCGAACCCTCGACACACCGCACCGAAAGGGCAGCCGTCAATTTGGATGCGAAAACCAAACAGAACTTATACTCGCGTCTTTAGGGTAAATAGTTTACCTTAATATTAGTTTAGTTTTGGATCGAACAATTGAACAAACAAATGAACAACAATAGTTTTGCTATTGTTTTTTCTGGTATCTTTCTGTATCTTTTCTTTGTGACGTTCTATTTGGTTGAAACTTTTGACTTCTTTTGATTGAAATTCCTATCTTGAATTTTTAGATTTCGTTCGTCAATGCGACATTATGAAGTATCACCAATCACATCACCGTCAACAAATGCAACATCGATGACCTTCAGCCGGTTTGTTTTTATTGTTTCTACGTTTATTTTGATCTTTAAAATACTTTAATCTATTAGGATTGAAAGAAAATATGTAGAAAAAAAGTTTTGACGATGATTTCTTTAAAATCAAAGCCACCAATTCCTCCTCAATTTTTTTATAAAGGAAAAAATAGAGATTATAAAGCTTATTTTTTATTTATACTACCTTCTTTTATCTCATAAGATATCAGTCACTTTAACTGACTCTATTAGAGGTTAGAGATTATAAAGCGTATTTATAGCAGATTATAAAGCGTATTCATAGCAGATTATAAAGCTTATTCATAGCAGATTATAAAGCGTATTTATAACAGATTATAAAGCGTATTTATAGCAGATTATAAAGCGTATTCATAACAGATTATAAAGCGTATTTATAGCAGATTATAAAGCGTATTCATAACAGATTATGGTGCTTATTCATAGCAGATTATAAAGCGTATTTATAACAGATTATAAAGCTTATTCATAGCAGATTATAAAGCGTATTTATAGCAGATTATAAAGCGTATTCATAACAGATTATAAAGCGTATTCATAACAGATTATAAAGCGTATTCATAACAGATTATAAAGCGTATTCATAACAGATTATAAAGCGTATTTATAGCAGATTATAAAGCGTATTTATAACAGATTATAAAGCGTATTTATAGCAGATTATAAAGCGTATTTATAGCAGATTATAAAGCTTATTCATAGCAGATTATAAAGCGTATTCATAGCAGATTATAAAGCTTATTCATAACAGATTATAAAGCGTATTTATAACAGATTATAAAGCTTATTCATAGCAGAAGTCTTCAGCTAGCATATTCATAGCATAGTCTCACTAGAATTGGTGGATTCGTTTTTGAAGAAATTGTAGTCAAACTTTTTTTTTTGAGAATTTTCTTTCCCAAACCTAATAGGATGTTAGATTATAGAGGCTCTCAACGAGAAGGCTCCCTCTTTAAATTCAGGGATACTTTGGTATACAGAATCCAATGCTCATCTCGTACATTCCATTTACACCATCCAATATTTACATAAATATTACTATCATCCCTATTTACCGCACTCAAGAATTCTTTTTTTTCTTTTTTTTTTTTGTTTGTAAAACGAGATTGCTTTTGTCGCAATGAGTGTGTTTGGAGACAAATAATTGAAGAAAAGAGAAATCACTGAGAAATTATCACTGAGAAAAGACACAAACAAATCCGTTTTCACCACTTCACATCTACGAAAGTGATCTGTTAATCATTCATTGTTAGTTCTATTTTTATTGTATTTCTTGTATTAAAATTCGTTCGACTTTTGACACTTTGAAATGCAATTCTCCATAAAAAAGAGTCAAAAGGACAGATTTTAAGAGGTTTTCAGGTTGAATCTTTTTAATGAACAGCTAGCTTTTTAAGGTTTTAAGCTTTTAAGATCTTTAAGGCTTTAAGGTTTTAAGCTCTTATGTCATATACCGTATTTCCTCTAATAGTAGCGTGCACCCAGCCGAGCTGAGTTGATGCCTATTTTACAGTTTCAAAGTTTTCCCAGAAGCTCAACACTTCAAATCTCCCACTAGATCTCATCGTCAGCTACATTTCCCGACCCCACATCGATAGGTTCTGATAAGCGGTCCCGAGATTTCGAGGAATTTAGGAGACGCTGCACTACTATTTGAGACTGCCAGTTTTCGGGGGGTGTGCTCTCTGTGCACACGCACAATCGCGCACTTTCTGGCATAGAGGGTTTACACATGCGAAGCCGAGGGGGCCTAGGGGGTAAGTCGGTGTCCACTGATTTCTTCGGGTCGCCATACTCGGATTTTTCATCGACATTTCCCGACCCCACATCGATAGGTTCTGATAAGCGGTTCTCGAGATTTCTTGAGGAATTTAGTCGACGCCT